ACCATTAGACTCTAAATGTCTCTGTCTTTGTTCCTTCGTCTGTCTCCCCGCAGCACAGTGTAACAGAGGAGTGACCTATTTACCCCTACGTCACTCTAGTATCGTAAAATCACACGTGTCGTAATCTAGTGTCGTAAAATCACACGCATGCGCAGCACATTCATCACCACGATTTCACCGTGGAAGCAGCTCCAGACAACAGAACGTTAGCATTCTGCTATAGCTCCTCTCTTTTACCCCTTATAGACAAGCAATAACACTTAACAGTTCACAAGACACCAGGCACCAAGCCCAAGCTAACTAAACAAATTTCTGGTGGCTCGTCCCATTCCAATGGACCACCAAGGAACAAATATTAATCATAACCCCGCATCAAAAATTGGCATGTAGCATGAATTAGCATTAGCATGTAGCATGAAGCATAATTAGCAGGCCACGTTAGCATTTCTCCCTCCGCCGTGCCGTAAAATTCCATTTGTTAGCTAAATTTGTGCTACCACGAGAACTGTGGAATCGACACGAGAGATTGCATCAGTCAAATAATTCGTCACCTATTAGCTGAGGGGCAACATACATTATCAATATACCACGGTCTCGAGTCCTCAGGACTCACCTAAAACACATCTAACGCGTTATCAGGATTTTCGGCCCACCTTAAAGAGGTCCATGATCCACAGCGGCTCTAAGTTACATACATCTGCCTAGGCCTCATTCCTTATTCCACTTAATCGATTGTTCTTGAACTGTTATTCAAGCAAAACATCTCTATAGACACTCTATAGGCTCTCTTCCCCCTTTTGCGCTGTCTACCAGTGCAAAGAAATTTATAATGGTTAGGCCAGACCCCTTATAGTCAACAGCAACAAAAGCAACACAAAGCACACATCGGTCCCCAACGGTACATCTCTCCAGCGCACATACCCAGAAGCTAACGAATGAAACACACACCCAAGACCGTGAGAAATCTCACCTTATGCCGGCATCTTGAGCGAGAGTCACGTCGCTGCTCATGAATATAACACTGAAGAGACGCAGACCGTCCCTTTTCGTGACGCCATTTTGTAGTGTCGAGTCAAAGTTGCTAATTATTGCTGTAACAAAGGAGTCCGCTTATACTGAACTTTGATCATAAGTTTTATTCACATCACAAGATTTCAGCATAAGTGTACAGGTGTCCAGATCACCCGGAGAGCAGTGGTTCCCAAATTGCAATGTCTGCTCTGCTCTTCTTCGTTTAAACCCAGTATATATAATCTTCCCCAAAATATGGGTGGCTCCCTCTACTGTCCAATCCCCTGTCTTGTATGGGGCGTCACCCTAAAAACGGCTCTCTTTCTTCTAAATAAACATCCTCTCAAGTTCCACTTAAAACCTTATCAAAGTCATAATCTTAATACACTACAATATGTTGGTTATGTTTTGCATGAATATGAAGGTAGTTCTGCAAGAACAGGACAGTTAATCTCAACGCCTCAAACCCCAAATATGGCAGCAAACTGTTTATAGTGTTTTACACAGTATAGATACCTTCACCAATCTAGATCATAAAATAGGCTACACCCAGCCACACAATATAAGCCATACTTCAGAACACTCCACTTTCATGTGGGTGGTGTGTTTTATAATGTGTTATTATAACCAGAGAATATCTCTCTGGTTATAGCTGTGACAGAACACATGCGTCTCTCTTGGTGACCCCACGCTGGCTGATATTATAAAATCAAGACAACTATCCCATCCTGTGCTCAGAGGTGAAGAACAGTGATTCAAGAGACAGTGTTTCGTGGGTCATTTGTAATTTTATTACAGTATTAATTAGTTTAAATCAGATCTCCATTGCTCAGATTTCTTGCACATGAATTACACTCTACATAGCTCAAGGACAATTGGTCAAATTAGTCAGTTGTCTGATCTCTTCTAGAGCAGAGCATGTCTTTGGTCAAGTTCTGAATGGATTTGAAGATCAGCTCTCTGTGATGTCATCAGTATCCAATCAGAGTATAGTCAAAATGGTGAAAGTTCAAATTATATATAGTCAGTATCTGTGTCTGACAGAGCAATCATTTGTTCACAGTTGTGTTTGGCGCCACTCCATGGACAATTTAGTTATAGACCTACAGACAGCGTAGGTCTACTGTATCTGAACTGCAGGTTAGACATCACTTCACCTCTTTAGGGCGCCAATACGTATTCTTATACAAGCTACTACATTTTTCATACAGCGAGAAAACATGACCCTCTATCCAATTGATTATTACTTACAAATAAAAAAAAATATTACATCCAAAACACAGCATTGTAAAAGGCAATAATGCAGCAATTAAACTCCATATAATTGTTTACATTTTCATTGGATGGGGAGGGGAGGAAGGCCAACATAGAAGTATCTTAATCAAGAGAGGACATACAAATATGTGTTCAGTCACTACAGTATACACCATTCTATATCTGCTAAATGCTGGTATGAAAACCTTGAGTCTTTGGGGAAACATAGGCAAGCTTATTCTCTTCTATAGTTTCAGTAGTATCGATACAAGGTTCAACTGACAAACTGTGAACATACCACGTTTTAGTTCACTAAATGGAGCTGTACAAATTATACAAGGACTATCTCAGCAGCAACCACAACCTGTGATTCCTACAATCCAAAAGCAATACATGGAAAATTCAAATCTCTGAGATCAAGTATTTGACCTCGTCTTCCCCATATTCAAAGCAGTGTTTGAATAAAGAAACAGAACGGTTTGAGGTGATGAGGGTGAGTCAGCCACATCTCTCCTCCGATGTGATCAATAATTTACTCCCTCATGTCGCCAGTGCTTTCATGAAGTACACAACAGCAGAACAACCTAGTTATAAATAAACTATGAACCTCTAAGGATGTTTCAGGACTGGTGGTGTTTTAAAAAGTGCTATTTTCATAATTCTGAGAGTGGTGAAAGATGATTGGTTTTGGTTAGGATCATCTGTAGTAGGCCAACAGTAGTTGTCGTTGACACTGTAGATTACAAAGAAACCTCCTACTGTACATGTGACCATCCAGCACAGAGATCTCTCTCTGGTACCAAAGTCATGTAGTGGAAAATAAATTCAACATAAAACCCATCCAAGACGTCAACAATCAGTCATTGAAAAAGGGGACAATCCCTCCTTATCTATAAACAGTGAATGATATTGATCATAACAACTGTGACCGATGCAACCCATCTCCCTAGGATGAGAAATGGAACTGAAAAAGTAGCATCAACAGTGGACTAACATTCAACTGGTGTTTATACAGAATCTATATGTTCTGTATTGTATGTTCATCCTGCCTAAAAACCTGCTATGTCCCTAAAGATTTACTTGAATTTGAAGCAATAAACTGAAAATAACTCCCACTAAGGTGTGCTAGAGCAAATATTGTGGTCACACCCAATCTGAGTAATAGACAAGGCCTCGGCATACCTCCCTTAGGCACAACTGTTACCCAATATCACAATTTTTGCCAACATCACTAATGTTCCCTAATTCTAAAGTCCATTGCACCACAATAATGAATGACATCCCACTGTTCTCATTCAGACCTGCAAATAGTGAAAATAGACATCCAGTGTTAAACTACGGTGAGATAATGAGGAAGGTACTGGACATGTAGCTTGTCTATTGATTACAGGTTAGTCCTTGGGGTTCTACTATGGGAGTGATACATTATCGAAGAGGATGGAGTCTCAACATCTACCTAAAATACATTCAGTCAGAAGTTAACTGTGTAGTCTTGTGCTGGTTTTTACAACAGTCCGTTTTCAATCAGCCATGTTAGGAAAATGTTCTCTCTCTCTCTGAACAGCACAAGGTATTCTTCTTTTTTTGTTTTTATTCCATTACACTGATGCAAATTCATTCTAGAAATGTCTATTTTTATGTCATGTTTTTTCTAAAGATATTTACACTGTCCATTTTAATCTGTCACATTTCCATCTTATCAAAAGCAAAGAACAGGAACAACACAAAGACGGTAGCGTCATACACCAAATCTGCATGCTTTCATAAAAATAATGGACTTCTGATTACTTTAATAAAAAATTTTTTTTTAGGTAGCAGTCATTCACTTAACTTAATGGTACATTAGTTCAATTAAATAGTTCACATGACATGGAATAGGCTCTGGGTGCCGATTGTGTCAGATGCCACAGACTGAAGGAGATGAGGTTGGGCTGAATATCAAAAGACCACCAACCCATTTTACTATGGATTGATAATATATATGTTGGTGTAAGTAATAACTAAGTCAATCAAGCTTCAATACCTCACATTCCCAACCCAACCTCCTCATCTCTGCTTAACCGTTAGAACTGTGCCTGGCTTTGAAAGAAGCTGTCCTACATTGACTCATGGAGGTGGGGTTGGCTTGGTGGTCATCATGTCAGAGTCATTGTAGCTTTAGATAGAGAACCAGTTTGTGTGGAGTTTTAGATCAGTTATACTATATTGTACATTCACATTTTACACTATTTATCTGAACTGGAATATAATGAATCAGAGCTGTAACACAATCCAACAAAGAATAAACAGATGACAAAACAACAAAGCAAAATGCACTGTTCAACATTGAGTCAGTTTCTGACAAATATCAATCAATTTATTAAGAATAAGGGGGTCAACTCAAGCCATTCCTATCCAAGTAGACAGGAGTGAATCTCTCTAAAGGAGATGATTGTTACACTATGGCATTAATGTCCACCCCTTTATTCTAGACCAGAAGAGTAAGAGGATTGGTCAGTTGGTAATATGTCTCCGTTACTGGTTTACATTCCAAAAACTGATGTGGGGGCATGGTTGGTCAGAGGTTTGTGGGCATATTCCCCATTATTTGCTTGTCAAGTTACATTAAAGTGTTGGTCGTAATGATACATCTTAATACATCATAGGGGGTGTGACTGGGACCGCCCCTAGGAGGGGAACAAAGAAAGGGAGCGCCTCGTGTGATTGGGCATGACCGGGAGGCCACACCCACCGCCTCAGTTCATTTGTTCAAAGAATTTGTAGGTGGGATTTTCGTAGCCGTGGTTCTGCATCTTGTTGAGTTGGCGCTCCTCTGGTGTCAGCATGGGGTCAACCTGCTGTGAGACACGGAGGGTCAAAGGTAATACTGATACAGATACAGTACAAGGAAGTGCTACTGTATAAGGAAGTACTATAAGCAGGAAGGAGGGGACACTACTGTGCTATAAGCATAAAGGGTCTCTCCTACGTGCTGCTGCAGGGAGAGACACTTTGAATACCTGCCTATGAAAAGCCAACTGACATTTACTCCTGAGGTGTTGCTCTGTTGCGCCCTCTATAGCCACCATGGTTATGATTTGACCCTGCTGGTCATCTATGAAACGTTTGAACTTCTTGAATGGCCAACATGTATCTCCACCTGGGACAGCCAGAAGAGAGCTGGCCACCCCCAGAGCCTGATTCCTCTCTAGGTTTCTTCCTAGGTTCCTGCTTTTTAGGGAGTTTTTCCTAGCCTCTGTGCTTCTACATCTGCATTGCTTGCTCTCTGGGGTTTTAGGCTGGGTATCTGTAATGCACTTTGTGACACCTGCTGATGTAAAAAGGGGTTTATAACATACATTTTATTTATTTATTGATTGTGTTTAGTTTAGTTTTATTTTGCATACATGGCAGCTAAAAGCTGTGCGTACACAAGTATAAACAAACATCAACAAATCAATAAATTGTGAGAGTAATGGAACTGGAAGGGATGATGATCATGATGGATGATCAAGGAAGAAGGTTTATGACATTGAGATCGGAGGAAGCCTTGATGTCTGATGATCAGATAAATCAAAACAATATTTAAACCCACACACTAATGTGCAATAAAGAGCTCTACTGGCAGCATCTGAACGTGAGCAGGTGTTTGTTCTGTCTGATTCCCTGCCTCCTACCTCCACGATGCCGTGGCTGATGGTGCCGTACGGCTTCCTGCGCACCAGCAACAGACTGATCACCATCACCATGGCGATGGCCACGGCGACCACCAGCAACCCCACCATGGCCCCGCGGTTGAACGTCTCCAGGGCGTCAGGTTGCTAAGGACAGAAACAGAAAAGGGGAAGAGAGGGCACAAAGAGGGGAGGATGGAGAAATTAGAGGTTGATATCATCATGGGAATGACTTACAATACCACAGGAGAGGAAGGGTCCGCCCAGCCCAGCCCATCCAGACACAGTGTTATCTATGTAGCAGACTCACCAGTTCATCTGTCTGGATCTCAGGAGACTTGTAGACCACCTGCTTGAGCTCCACAGAGGTGTTAATCTAGAGAGTGAGAGTGAGAGCGAGAGAGGGAAGAGGAAGAGAAGAGAAAGAGAAGAAGAGAGAGAGGGGGGGGTATTTAATAGGTCATTACAGAGAAAGTACCCAGAATTAAATAGAACCCATTAAATATATCTCTATGGGAGTTGCCTTCCTGCTGTGAGAGGATGTTATAGTAATGGAGTAAAAATGTAGCAGTTCATCACGTGGAGGCTGCATTGCGACACAAGCTATTTTTCCATATACACATGAGGGGGTGAGATACAAAGTGGGAAGGGATGGAGGGAGAGAAGGAGAGATGAGGTGATTTACATAATGTGTCAGCGTAACTCTTGGCTGTGTTGTAAACACAAGTGCAAGTAGGAAGCCATGTCTGTAAAGTGATGTGTACGTTTGTAATAAAAAAAAACAATCGATTTTTCTCACTTTCTCCTCATATTCATATGTGGGGCTTCTCTCAGATGTGGCATAGTCATACTCGTCTGTAGAGGCTGAGTGCAGAGGCAGAAAACACACAGATTCAGCCATGATCAACTACTTCTTTCTTTGAAAATGACATTTTGGCAGACAAATATCAGACTTCATGTCCCTTCCCTTTAACTCACCTTTCTTAGCGTTGGGCTGTGGGTCTAGACAGGACAGAAACAAGATACAAAAATAAAATGTTAACTTACTGCTTGTATTCAAAGAAATGAATTAATTCCTGAACAATTTGGTCCTCAACAATGTGGTCCTCTGTAGCTCAGCTGGTAGAGCACGGCGCTTGTAACGCCAAGGTAGTGGGTTCGATCCCCGGGACCACCCATACACAAAAAATGTATGCACGCATGACTGTAAGTCGCTTTGGATAAAAGCGTCTGCTAAATGGCATTTTATATTATTTATTATTATTATTATTATTATTATTATTATATTATATTATATTATTATTATTATTATATTATTATAATTTGAAGAGGAGACATTTTGTGTGTATGCGCTCATTCATGAGTGTGTGTGTGTGTCCGTACCGATGCGGGGTGGGTAGGGCCTGTTCTGGAAGGCTCTCTCCTCCTCCTCTTCGTCATCCTTCTCCTCCTCACTCTCGGCAGGAAGCAGCTCCTCGGTGGTGCGTGTCTCAGAGAAGGAAGTTGTCATGAGCTCACTGATGTCTCCTCGCTCCGCCTTCACCAGCTCCTCTACCGGGAGGGAGAGAAACAAGCAGGTTTTAAAAACAGGAAAGGTGTTTAGAGAAATACAATAAACTAAAGTGCTACCCAGCTTCATATACAGTACAGTATAATGTCTTTACGGTTACACTGCGTTATTTACACCTTATATACACCAATCCTTTATTTTCTGAATGAGAGTTCCCTAGAGAAATGTCAAGATAATAATAGCCTAGCAATTAGATACATTTGTATTTGGAACTTTGAATGTCTTACAAAAGACATCATGATAAATGCTAGCTTATCTCTTTCGAAATGTCTTATGAATGAACTAAAACATTAATATTAGGACAGGGGCAGTAACCCCACATCCTTGTCTACATGGCTAACAGGAGGGTAGAGAGGAGTGTAGCATACGGATATCATCGTGCAGCTCCTCAGCCAAGGCAGGGACCTTGTAGAGTAAAGCCAAGCTCTGGTTCATCCTCTCCTCAATCACATGGAGGTGGGTGTAGACCTGCAACACCAAGCGATCAATGCTGGTTAGGTTCATTACAAGACAAAGTCCCTACTGAGTCTGAAAGAGTCATGTGTTGGTTTTATGTATTGGCATTTAGAAGAGAAATGAAAATGAGTTTTGCTGTGAAGGATGATTATGACATCAGTTATTGATCATTTTGTTAAAGGGACAATCTGCAGTTGCTACATGCATTTCTGGACTTATAAATAAATGATATGTACGCATTGATTCTTGAAGAATATAACTTAAGCCTCATGAGATTAGTTCAACTGTGGTACCCCATTAGAACCCAACATATAAGCTTGTTTTACCCCAATAGCCTCAAAAACATGATTAAAACTATAATTTTGATATCATGAATGGTCAATCATAGCATCCATAGCTCTGTCTATGAATTTGAGAGTGGTTACATTTCTCCAGCCCGATCCCTCAGCTTTTTACCGAAACAGGGGCAGGGACACACTTTTTTGTTGTTTCAAATGCTGATTGCCCCTTTAAGAGTTATTTTATGAGCATGAGGCAGCATCACTGCTTAAGGAAGATGCACAGTATCTTTTCATTCTAATATATTCCGGTATCTTTTCATCCTAGTATATTCCAGTATATTTTCATCCTAGTATATTCCAGTATGTTTTCATTTCACACCTGGAACTTCATCTGCTCAGCCTTCTGGGGGTCGACGGCCTCAATGTGCTGGTAGTGTCTCAGAGTGTGTCTGCGGTCCTTCTGCTCTGCTGCCATGTATCGCTTCAGAGCCTGCAGCACCCGCTCGGGCTGTTGAGAGGAGAGGGAAATTATAGTCAGAGAATGGAGGGGGTGGAGAAAGTGTGGTAGAAATGAACAATACACTACAGTACACTCACACTCTCTGACTAACAAATATACACTGAGTATACCAAACATAAGGAACACCTTCCTAATATTTTTTTTTTACTTTTACCTATTTTTTCTCCCCAATTTCATGATAGCCAATTGGTAGTTACAGTCTTGTCTCATCGCTGCAACTCCCCTACGGACTCGGGAGAGGCGAAGGTCGAGAACCATGCGTCCTCCGAAACACGACCCTGCCAAGCCGCACTGATTCTTGACACACTGCTCGCTTAACCCGGAAGCCAGCCGCACCAATGTGTCGGAGGAAACACCGTCCAACTGACGACCGAAGTCAGCTTGCAGGCGCCCAGCCCGCCACAAGGAGTCGCTAGAGCACGATGGGACAAGGAAATCCCGGCCGGCCGGCCAAACCCTCCCCTAACCCGGACGACGCTGGGCCAATTGTGCGCCGCCTCATGGGTCTCCCGGTCACGGCCGGCTGTGACACAGCCTGGGATTGAACCCGGGGCTGTAGTGATGCCTTAAGCACTGTGATGCACACCTTCCTAATATTAAGTTGCACCCTCTCTTTTGCCCTCAGAACAGCCTCAATTAGTTGGGGCATGGGCTCTACAAGGTGTTGAAAGCGCTCCACAGGGATGCTGCCCCATGTTGACTCCAATGCTTCCCACAGTTGTCTGGATGTCCTTTGGGTGGTGGACCATTCTTGATACACACAGGAAATTGTTGAATGTGAAAAACCCAGCAGCGTTGCAGTTCTGTACAGTCATGCGCTCTGCTTAACAAAATGTAGATATCCCTGCTGCCGCTGCTGTCTACTGACCTGTGGGGGCTCGGCCTGCACGGCGGTCAGGTAGCTCTCCAAGGCCAGTCTGCGGTTGTTGTTGAGGGTGGCCACCACGCGGGCCAGGTGGGTCTCCACCAGCCTCTGTCTCTCCCCTGCCACCTGCTCCTCCAGAGTCTGCAACACAGACTGGAAATGCTGGGGGGAGAGGAGAGGAGAAGGGGATAATCGTTGCGTTAATAGGCATATGAGTATCTGTCTCATCTTTTCTTCCTTCTTTAATCCCGTTCTCCTTTCTTCCATCCCCTCCTCTTCCTATTCCACCTCCTTAACCTCATTAAGGGCCTGGCGGTCAGACTTGGGCAGGTTCTTGGACTGGTTGTCAGCCTCAGCCCATTCCTTCATGATCTGAAAAGGCAAGATGAGTTAACGTCATTCACACACACTCAGAGCCAAGTACTGATTTCCTCATAGACAGGAATCCACTGAGGACCATTCTGATGTTTAAAATGCTCCATATCCGTCTCAATCTGCAGCTACTAAAAAAGTCTGCCTGATCTTGGGTATTCACTTGGCTTGGTTCACTTGAAGTAAACAGTGGGACAATCTCAATTGCATACTCCTCACGTCCACTCTCCTGGATGAGAAAGCCAGCGGTCCCTCCCCTCTGACCTTCTCCACCAATGGGTTTTGAGAAGGAGTTGAGGAGAGAGGACACGAGGAGTATGCAATTGAGATTCTCCCAATATATTAATATTGCATTAAGACCTCACTTCAAGTCCCAGAGCAATTTGCCCCCGTCTGTCAACAGTGTGTTCTGTAGGAGATCACAGATATGGAAACAGCACAGCAGACCTGGCCTCATCTTATTGGTTCATTGCCTGTCCAAACCCGCCTTTCTGCCCCCCTTACCTCATTGATGCGTTTCATTCGCCGCTCCTCCAGGTCCATCTTGGCACGCAGGAAGTTGGCGTGTTCGCTGTCGTCCCCTGGCATCTCAAAGTAAACATCCACACCATCTGTGGGGCGAGGGGTGGGCACTGCAGAGGAGAAGGAGGAGAAGGGGATAAAGAGAAGAGGGGAACGAGAGGAGGGAGAGAGAGGATAGAGATAGATGGAGGGAGAGAGAGGATAGAGATAGACGGAGGGAGAGAGAGGGAGGATAGAGATAGATGGAGGGAGAGAGATGATAGAGATAGATGGAGGGAGGCAGAATAAAGAATGGAAAACAGAGAAGGAGAGACGAGAGAGGATAGAGATAGATGGAGGGAGGCAGAATAAAGAATGGAAAACAGAGAAGGAGAGACGAGAGAGAGGATAGAGATAGATGGAGGGAGGGAGGCAGAATAAAGGATGGAAAACAGAGAAGGAGAGAAGAGAGAGAGGAGAGATGGAGGTATAGTCAGTGCAGCAGAATGAAAGACAGAGGGGAGGATGAGGAAGACAGAAAGATATCCCAATCATTGCCATTACCCAGAGAGAGAGAGAGAGAGATTGATCCAGATAGTAGGGTGAGTGGGCAGCATTATTGAGTTGGAGACGAGTAGTGCTGTAAATACATCAGCCAGCCACTCCTATCTAACTCCTACATCCAGCCAGACAGATAGGCATGGTGAGTGTGTGTGTGTGTGTGTGCGTAATCATGCTTAGTCTATTACAAAGAGATAGAGTGAGAGAGAGAAAGTATTGGAGATGCTAACTGGGCACTACAGTTCATTCCCCAGTAAGTAAGAGTAAGTGGGAGATTGGAGAGTGATGTCAGCATTTACCCAGTATTTTTACTGCCCTATTAACCACTCTAAGGGAAGCAACTACAGTCCATTCCCTTACTGAGACTGGCCTTTAGAGAGAAAGGTCCAGACCAGACACAAAACCTAGCCACTACTCAATACCCCACTTCTCCACTTTTGTAGGTAAGAATATAGACAATATGGATAAAATTCCATCTAGGGCAAAGTGATATTCCTATAAAGTTTATGCCCATGAAATCCTCTCAGATCTAGTGGAGAGGTGGTAAGTAGGGGCTAAGGATTGTTTCTGGAGAGGCCAAAGATGTAACTGTGAGATAGAAGGTAGAGGGTTACTCACGGCTGTCTCCCCTGATCTGGGGTGGGGATGTGGAGGGGTTGCGACCAGCCTGACCCTGGCCTTTCTCATAGTAGAAGGAGTCTGTGTAGTCAGAAGCCTGGTAGGGGCCAGAGTCAATGGAGTACTCATACTCCTCTGGGTCTTTCACTGCTGCTGCAACCTCCTGCTGCACCTCCTCCTCCTCCTCCTCCTCCTCTTCATCCTCTACTGCCTCCTCCTCCTCTTCTTCTTCTTCCTCCACCTGCTCATCCTCTTCCACCATCTCATCATCTTCCTCCTCCATGTCTGTCTCGTCCACATCGGTGTCAGGAGAGGGGCTCGGGGTGGGTGTTGTCACTTTGACTCTAGGAATGGGGTACAAGGTCAAACATTATGATCATCATCACCATCATCACCACAGACAGCAGGGGTAATGGGACTCACCCTGTATTGACTTTGGCCTGAGGGGTGAGGGCCTGGTGTCCTGCTGGGAGAGCGTCCCCTCCCTCTGTCTCCCCCCTGCCACTGGACCCGCCCCTCCCCGGGCAGCACACATACTCCACCCCACGGAAACGGTCGCCGCACGGCAACAGCATCCCATAACTATGCAGCTCCAGACTGTCTGCTGTGCAGGCCTGAAACAGAAAGAGAGAGGATGAGAAATCTGTTAAACATGGATCAAGATTGGAAAAGAACAAGGTGAACGAGAGAGAGATCAGAGGTGTATAGAAAAAGAGAGGAAATGTGAGCGTGATCAAAGGGAACTAACTAGCAGGAGGTGAAGGAAACACAACAGGGGGTAACCTCTTCCTCAGCATGATGAAGGTGAGATATAAAAACTACAACCTAACTCACCTCCCTGGCCTCTAATAAACGACCACCTCCCTGGTCTCTAATAAACGACCACCTTCCTGGCCTCTAATAAACTACCACCTTCCTGGCCTCTAATAAACTACCACCTTCCTGGCCTCTAATAAACTACCACCTCCCTGGCCTCTAATAAACTACCACCTCCCTGGCCTCTAATAAACTACCTCACCTCCCTGGTCTCTAATAAACTACCTCACCTCCCTGGCATATAATAAACTACCTCACCTCCCTTGGCTCTAATAAACTACCTCACCTCCCTGGCATATAATAAACTACCTCACCTCCCTGGCCTCTAATAAACTACCTCACCTCCCTGGTCTCTAATAAACTACCTCACCTCTCTGGCATATAATAAACTACCTCACCTCCCTGGTCTCTAATAAACTACCTCACCTCCCTGGCCTCTAATAAACTACCTCACCTCCCTGGGCTCTAATAAACTACCTCACCTCCCTGGCATATAATAAACTACCTCACCTACCTGGCCTCTAATACACTACCTCATCTCACTTGGCTCTAATAAACTACCTCACCTCACTGGTCTCTAATAAACTACCTCACCTCCCTTGGCTCTAATAAACTACCTCACCTCCCTGGCATATAATAAACTACCTCACCTCCCTGGTCTCTAATAAACTATCTCACCTCCCTGGCCTCTAATAAACTACCTCACCTCTCTGGCATATAATAAACTACCTCACCTCCCTGGCCTCTAATAAACTACCTCACCTCCCTGGCATATAATAAACTACCTCACCTCCCTGGTCTCTAATAAACTACCTCACCTCCCTGGCCTCTAATAAACTACCTCACCTCCCTGGCCTCTAATAAACTACCTCACATCCCTGGCATATAATAAACTACCTCACCTCCCTGGCCTCTAATAAACTACCTCACCTCCCTGGCCTCTAATAAACTACCTCACCTCCCTGGCCTCTAATAAACTACCTCACCTCCCTGGCATATAATAAACTACCTCACCTCCCTGGCATATAAAAACTACCTCACCTCCCTGGCATATAAAAACTACCTCACCTCCCTGGGCTCTAATAAACTACCTTCACCTCTCTGACCTCTCTGGCATATAATAAACTACCTCACCTCCCTGGCCTCTAATAAACTTCCTCACCTCCCTGGCCTCTAATAAACAACCTCACCTCCCTGGTCTCTAATAAACAACCTCACCAACCTAGCATATAATAAACTACCTCACCTCCCTGGTCTCTAATAAACTACCTCACCTCCCTGGCCTCTAATAAACAAACCTCACCTCCCTAGTCTCTAATAAACAACCTCACCAACCTAGCATATAATAAACTACCTACCTCACCTCCCTGGTCCTCTAATAAACTAACCTCACCTCCCTGGCATATAATAAACTACCTCACCTCCCTGGCCTCTAATAAACTACCTCACATCCCTGGCATATAATAAACTACCTCACCTCCCTGGCATATAATAAACTACCTCACCTCCCTGGCCTCTAATAAACTACCTCACCTCCCTGCCTCTAATAAACTACCTCACCTCCCTGGCCTCTAATAAACTACCTCACCTCCCTGGTCTCTAATAAACATCCTCACCTCCCTGGTCTCTAATAAACTACCTCACCTCCCTGGCATATAAAACTACCTCACCTCCCCTGGCTCTAATAACTACCTCACCTCCCTGGCATATAATAAAACTACCTCACCCTCCCTGATATATAATAAACCCTACCTCACCTCCCTGGCATATAATAACACTTCCTCACCTCCCGGAGCATATAAAAACTACCTCACCTCCCTGGCATATAATAAACTACCTCACCTCCCTGGCCGAATATAATAACTACCTCACCTCCCTGGCATATAATAAAACCTTTCCTCACTCCCCTGGCAATATAATAAAACTTCCCTCACCTCCCATGGCATATAAAAAAACTACCTCACCTCCCTGGCAATTAATAAAACCTACCGCACCTCCCATGGGCTCTCATAACTACCTCACCTCCCTGGCATATAATAAAGTACCCTCACCTCCCTGGCCTCTAATAAACTTCCTCACCTCCCTGGCATATAAAAACTACCTCACCTCCCTGGTCTCTAAAAAACTACCTCACCTCCCTGGCATATAATAAACTACCTCACCTCCCTGGCATATAATAAACTACCTCACCTCCCTGGCATATAATAAACTACCTCACCTCCCTGGGCTCTAATAAACTACCTCACCTCCCTGGCATATAATAAACTACCTCACCTCCCTGGCATATAATAAACTACCTCACCTCCCTGGCATATAATAAACTACCTCACCTCCCTGGCATATAATAAACTACCTCACCTCCCTGGCATATAATAAACTACCTCACCTCCCTGGCATATAATAAACTACCTCACCTCCCTGGTCTCTAATAAACTACCTCACCTCCCTGGCCTCTAATAAACTACCTCAACTCCCTGGTCTCTAATAAACTACCTCACCTCCCTGGTCTCTAATAAACTACCTCACCAACCTAGCATATAATAAACTACCTCACCTCCCTGGTCTCTAATAAACTACCTCACCTCCCTGGCATATAATAATCTACCTCACCTCCCTGGTCTCTAATAAACTACCTCACCTCCCTGGCCCCTAATAAACTACCTCACCTCCCTGGTCTCTAATAAACTACCTCACCTCCCTGGCCTCTAATAAACTACCTCACCTCCCAGGCCTCTAATAAACTACCTCACCTCCCTGGCATATAATAAACTACCTCACCTCCCTGGTCTCTAATAAACTACCTCACCTCCCTGGCATATAATAAACTACCTCACCTCCCTGGCATATAATAAACTACCTCACCTCCCTGGCCTCTAATAAACGACCTCACCTCCCAGGCCTCTAATAAACTACCTCACCTCCCTGGCATATAAAAACTACCTCACCTCCCTGGTTTCTAATAAACTACCTCACCTCCCTGGCCTCTAATAAACAACCTCACCTCCCTGGTCTCTAATAAACTGCCCTCACCTCCCTGGTCTCCAATAAACTGCCTCACCTCCCTGGCATATAAAAACTACCTCACCTCCCTGGTCTCTAATAAACTACCTCACCTCCCTGGCATATAATAAACTACCTCACCTCCCTGGCATATAATAAAACTACCTCACCTCCCTGGCATATAAGAAACTACCTCACCTCCCTGGCATATAATAAACTACCTCACCTCCCTGGCATATAATAAACTACCTCACCTCCCTGGCCTCTAATAAACTTCCTCACCTCCCTGGCATATAATAAACTACCTCACCTCCCTGGTCTCTAATAAACTACCTCACCTCCCTGGCATATAATAAACTACCTCACCTCCCTGGCATATAATAAACTACCTCACCTCCCTGGCATATAATAAACTACCTCACCTCCCTGGGCTCTAATAAACTACCTCACCTCCCTGGCATATAATAAACTACCTCACCTCCCTGGCATATAATAAACTACCTCACCTCCCTGGCATATATAAACTACCTCACCTCCCTGGCATATAATAATATAATAAACTACCTCACCTCCCTGGCATATAATAAACTACCTCACCTCCCTGGCATATAATAAACTACCTCACCTCCCTGGCATATAATAAACTACCTCACCTCCCTGGCATATAATAAACTACCTCACCTCTCTGGCATATAATAAACTACCTCACCTCCCTGGCATATAATAAACTACCTCACCTCCCTGGCATATAATAAACTACCTCACCTCCCTGGCCTCTAATAAACTACCTCACCTCCCTGGCATATAATAAACTACGTCACCTCCCTGGCATATAATAAACTACCTCACCTCCCTGGCATATAATAAACTACCTCACCTCCCTGGCATATAATAAACTACCTCACCTCCCTGGCATATAATAAACTACCTCACCTCCCTGGCATATAATAAACTACCTCACCTCCCTGGCATATAATAAACTACCTCACCTCCCTGGCATATAATAAACTACCTCACCTCCCTGGCCTCTAATAAACTACCTCACCTCCCTGGCATATAATAAACTACTTCACCCTCCCTGGGCATATAATAAACTACCCTCACCTCCCTGGCATATAATAACTACCCTCACCTCCCTGCATATATAAACTACCTCACCTCCCTGGCATATATAAACTACCTCACCTCCCTGGCATATAATAAACTACCTCACCTCCCTGGCATATAATAAACTACCTCACCTCCCTGGCATATAATAAACTACCTCACCTCCCTGGCATATAATAAACTACCTCACCTCCCTGGTCTCTAATAAACTACCTCACCTCCCTGGTCTCTAATAAACTACCTCACCTCCCTGGCATATAATAAACTCCCCTAGCAGCTCTCTCTGCTGATGCAGTATGATACAATCTGTTACACTACACCCAGCTGGGTACAGTTAGCTTCCAGCCCCAGTCTTTTACTGCAGTCTACACTGCAGTTTAGTTATTGACTCAATTAGTCCAAGTCCAAGTTTAATGTCTCATAGCAGTCTATGCTAACTCTCTATAAAGAGTCATAGCGGTGTTAAAACCCAATTAAAACGTAAGAAATTAATTGAAAAATGTAATATCATTTAGGCATAATTTCATTAACTCTAATATAATCTCAGTTAATATAATGTATCCCAGCCCGCACCTCCTTGGCTATGTTGTGCCAGTAGACGTAGCTCTCACAGGCATCCATCTGCTCCTGGTGCAGGAAACGGCATCGGTCTGGAACCAACAGGGCCTCACTCACATACTCACCCACTTCAGACAGAGACAGAGATAGAGAGACATAGAGACAGAGAGACATAGAGACACAGAGACACAGAGACACAGAGAGACAGAGAGACAGAGAGACAGAGAGAGAGCGGGAGGGAGGGAAATGGAATGAGAGGGAGAATATTTTATATTTTGCCTTGGTTGGCAAAAATTTTTAACATCAAAAACGTTCATAAACATCCATAAACCCAAGAGAGGGAGAAGGAGTGAGTGAGCAAAGAGATAGAGACATGCACACAGAGAGAGACTTGAACCGAAAAGGTTCAGTATAATAAGATAATGCCAACTCATTACAGTGCCTCTGCACTATCTGAGCTGAGGACGAGGTGGGGAGTGGAGAATGATCCAGAACACCATGGTGTGCTGCTGCCTGCAGTTCTACTTTCAATAGCTGCAGTCAGTCAGTCAGTCAGTCAGTCAAGGACAGAACAATGTGAAATATGCTTCATTTCAGATTTTCATTTAAGCCATTTGATTCCATCGGTCACAATAGTGAAAAAAATAACTTTTCTACTTTACAGGCTCTAGAGAAGTTAAAGTTGTATTTATGAACAAATAAGTCATATGTTTTGCATTGTTAAGGTGTCTAGTATGATTCTGAGAAGTTTCATATGACTTCTCAAAATGGTCACAAGACCACAAGCATACATCTCCAAGGTGTACTTTTACAGACGAATTTGGCACCAGAAGTATTCAACAGCTTAAAAAATGAATACATTGTTGGAACTTTCAAATATTTTATTTGTAAATATGTTTAAAAGGTGTAGTTTACATATGTGCCTTCATTTTCAATACATTTAATTCATGATGCTCGTGGTATATGAAAATATTTAAGCGGTCACGTGACCAATGGCTCTTACGTATTATGTATATTTAACCATAGCAGATTATTACTTTTTTTCAGTAGATTGAAGTTGAGTTGGGTTATGGATATACCTGATCAAGATGATCTTAAATAGGATTTTACCATTATTCATTAGTCTTTACATTTGTTTAAATAAGTGACTGACTGTAAAACATCATATTTTGTTATTTCAGAGGGAATTGGCCATGTATAGACCCATACACTGAATTTGTGTAATAAATATATATTTAATGTTAATAGGTTTGTTTAGTGTCTCTTGCACAATGGTAGACCTGGTTTATGTGAGTTTTGCTGAATAGTCACAAGGGTAGACCTGGTTTATTGGGACAGTATTCAGGCTTCGGCACATTTAGACCTGGCTTAGTTGACTAATTGGGTTCAAACACAGGTGCATACTTTATAGGTATGTAAATCGGAGCTGAAGTACAAGTGTAGATCTGGTTTACATGAATATTGGGGCTAAAATGCAGAAGTACACCTATTTTCTTATGACAATTGGGGCTGACGTAGCAGTAGACCTGTTTTAAAAAAAATGTTTTTAATCAATATTGGGTTAGAAGTGCAGGTGTAAAACTGGTTTGTATTAATATGGTTCCAGGTAGAACTATTTTGGATTCCATGTAGAACCTTTTCCAGAGGGTTCTACATGGAACCCAAAAGGATTCTACCTCGAACCAAAAAGAGTTTCCCTATAGGGACAGCCGAACAAAGAACCCTTTCGGAACCCTTTTTTCTAAGAGTGTAGGGATACACAAGGTTCATACAGGTAATGGGTCTGGATGGATGTCTATTGCCCATTCAAATCCTTTCTGGCAACATACCACTGTACTGTGAGTTTATCTATTAAATTATTAGCGTATACAGGTCAGAGATCACAGGACTAAGATATGCAAATAACAGGGTTGGGGTGTGCAACGAATATCTGGATACAGGTTACTGTTGGTGACTTGGGGAATACAGGCCTAAGGAAAGTTTGTAACAGGGCTGAGATAGGCAAGTATCAAGGATGAGGTGTATTGGCAAAGGGACTGGGGTCTATGAGTAACAAATAGGGCATTCAGGGCTAGGATATGGGTGTATTGGTACTTGATTGTATCAATATTAGGGTATTGGCATGTGGGTGTTAGGGTTAGGGCATGGGGGTAAGAGGGCTGGGGTGTGTGGGTAATTGGGTTTAGGTGTGTGGGTAAGTGGGTGGAGATATATACAGTAGATATTGGGGCAAATGTCTGTTCATTTTATTTTAGGCAGAGCACTGTATGTTCCCATCGGTCACAATTGTGACTGAGAATAAAACTCTTTTTTTGTACATACTTTTCAAATATCATTATTTTTTAAAGCAATATGGATTACATGTTAGGGTTACTAAATAGCATAAGATTTGCATAGTGGCACGTCTGGGGAAAAATGTGGGAACAAATGGGTTAACATTCAACACAGACTGAAAGACCTTTCCACCATTTTGATGCACCTTACAAAGCTTTGACAATGGAATCCATTCAAATGAACTATTAAACATACCATGTCCGTTTCTTATATTACTTCCCCGAGGCTGAATTTGAACGCTACTTAACCATATCATTGAAATTACGTGCTTTGTATTAAACATAATGATGACATGATGTTACTTATTAACATAATAAAGTTATCCTCAGATATGGGGCGGGTGATCTTAGGGAAGTTGTGCAATGTTTTGAGTGATGTTTGTGTAGGGATATGCTGAATATTATAATGATGATGATGATGAGGCTGAGGGTGAAGACATTGCACACGTGTGGTTCTTACCCTGGCAGCGGTAGGGCATGACGATGAAGGGCCGTGTCTGGCAGTGGCCCCAGCCCTTCTTACACCAGGCTGGGATGGTGACGGGGCTGGAGGACTCCTCCACATGGGAGACCTGCAGGGCTGGATACATCTGGTTGGACAGATGGACGGACAGACAGACGGCGAGGAGACAGACAGACGGAGGGACAGATGGACGGACGATATGGACAGACAGGACATCAGGGAGGAGTTAGGACGAGAGAGAGGAAAGATACAACAGGGTCAGACAAATTGAGAGGGAAAAAGGAGGGTTGAGGGGAGGGGAGACGTACAGTACAGACAGAGGGAGAGAGGAGGAGAGGGAGAGAGGAGGAGAGAGGAGGAGAGGGAAGAAGGAAGGGAGAAAGGTAACAAAGGAGAGACTCATGCAACGGTGTGAAACACTTTGGCCCTAAGGGTCTATTTTCTGACTATGCACGTCGTTCACTGATCTCCTTAAATTGTAGGGAAAATTGCAGTCTGAAAACAAGTTGACCTATACGATCCCACTTCCAATTCTTTCAATAATCCCAATTTCACATCTGACTACTTTCAATTATAATGTAGGGCAATGGCATAAACACTGCCCTATAATGAGGTTTAATGGATTGAGAAATGTATTTGGCACGCTCTCTGAGAGCCGGATCCACAGACGTTGAGGAAAAAGGAATGCTTTTGTGGAAAAGCAATCACAGACGCATAATGAGCTGGGTAATCACATTACAGCCATTTCAACTGGACTCTAAGATAACCTGCCTAAATGACTACCGACCCGTAGCACTGACGTCTGTAGCCATGAAGTGCTTTGAAAGGCTGGTCATGGCTCACATCAACAGCATTATCCCAGAAACCCTAGACCCACTCCAATTTGCATACCGCCCCAACAGATCCACAGATGATGCAATCTCTATTGCACTCCACACTGCCCTTTCCCACTTGGACAAGAGGAACACCTACGTGAGAATGCTATTCATTGACTACAGCTCAGCATTCAACACTATACGACCCTCAAAGCTCATCACTAAGCTAAGGATCCTGGGACTAAACACCTCCCTCTGCAACTGGATCCTGGACTTCCTGACGGGCCGCCCCCAGGTGGTAAGGGTAGGTAACAACACATCTGCCACACTGATCCTCAACACGGGGGCCCATCAGGGATGCGTGCTCAGTCCCCTCCTGTACTCCCTGTTCACCCATGACTGCATGGCCAGGCACGACTCCAACACCATCATTAAGTTTGCCGACAACACAACAGTGGTAGGCCTGATCACCGACAACGATGAGACAGCCTATAGGGAGGAGATCAGAGACCTGGCTGTGTGGTGCCAGGATAACAACCTCTCCCTCAACGTGACCAAGACAAAGGAGATGATTGTGGACTACAGGAAAAAAAAAGAGGACTGAGCACGCCCCCATTCTCATCGACGGGGCTGTAGTGGAACAGGTTGAGAGCTTCAAGTTCATTGGAGTCCACATCACCAACGAACTATCATGGTCCAAGCACACCAAGACAGTCGTGAAGAGGGCACAACAAAGCCTATTCCCCCTCAGGAGACTGAAAAGATTTGGCATGGGTCCTCAGATCCTCAAAAAATTCTACAGCTGCACCATCGAGAGCATCCTGACTGGTTGCATCACCGCCTGGTATGGCAACTGCTTGGCCTCCGACCGCAAGGCACTACAGAGGGTAGTGCGTACGGCCCAGTACATCACTGGGGCCAAGCTTCCTGCCATCCAGGACCTCTATACCAGGCGGTGTCAGAGGAAGGCCCTCAAAATTGTCAAAGACTCCAGCCACCCTAGTCATAGACTGTTCTCTCTGCTACCGCACGGCAAGCGGTACCGGAGTGCCAAGTCTATGTCCAAAAGACTTCTCAACAGCTTCTACCCCCAAGCCATAAGACTCCTGAACAGCTAATCATGGCTACCCGGACTATTTGCACTGCCCCCCCACCCCATCCTTTTACGCTGCTGCTACTCTGTTAATTATTTATGCATAGTCACTTTAACTCTACCCACATGTACATATTACTTCAACTACCTCAACTAGCCGGTGCCCCCGCACATTGACTCTGCACCGGTACCCCCCTGTATATATAGGCTCCCTACTGTTATTATATTTTACTTCTGCTCTTTTTTTTCTCAACACTTTTGTTGTTGTTTTATTTTTACTTTTTTGTTAAAAATAAATGCACTGTTGGTTAAGGGCTGTAAGTAAGCATTTCACTGTAATGTCTGCACCTGTTGTATTCGGTAAATAAAATTTGATTGATTTGAACTGTGTGACTGCTGTTTTCTTTACATGCTGTGCTTCATTTAGCCAACAGGTGGCTCATGATGTCCATTTATAAAAACAGGCTCCTTGCTCTTCTTTGGGAGGGGGAGCAGCGAGTAACTAATCAAACCAAGGCTGTGGCTAGGCCTGTTGTGCCATTGATATGCCTTAAGTTTGGCATGCAGGAGACTTTCAGGAATTAGGGGGATAAACGTGGCAGCTAACAGCAGGAAGATCGATGGATGATAGTATTAATATTCAGGAAATATCAAGAAATATTTCCTCCTGACCACCATCACTCCACTATATATACGGAAATATATAGATTTGATAGGACAAGACAAACCAAGTGAGACAGAGTGGGAGATTAGGGTTGGTTACTACTACTCCTATTCGTAATGTTGTGTGATCTATCTACTGTGGGGGAAAAAAAGTATTTAGTCAGCCACCAATTGTGCAAGTTCTCCCACTTAAAAAGATGAGAGGCCTGTAATTTTCATCATAGGTACACGTCAACTATGACAGACAAATTGAGAAAAAAAAATCCAGAAAATCACATTGTAGGATTTTTAATGAATTTATTTGCAAATTATGGTGGAAAATAAGTATTTGGTCACCTACAAACAAGCAAGATGTCTGGCTCTCACAGACCTGTAACTTCTTCTTTAAGAGGCTCCTCTGTCCTCCACTCGTTACCTGTATTAATGGCACCTGTTTGAACTTGTTATCAGTATAAAAGACACCTGTCCACAACCTCAAACAGTCACACTCCAAACTCCACTATGGCCAAGACCAAAGACCTGTCAAAGGACACCAGAAACAAAATTGTAGACCTGCACCAGGCTGGGAAGACTGAATCTGCAATAGGTAAGCAGCTTGGTTTGAAGAAATCAACTGTGGGAGCAATTATTAGGAAATGGAAGACATACAAGACCACTGATAATCTCCCTCGATCTGGGGCTCCACGCAAGATCTCACCCCATGGGGTCAAAATGATCACAAGAACGGTGAGCAAAAATCCCAGAACCACACGGGGGGACCTAGTGAATGACCTGCAGAGAGCTGGGACCAAAGGAACAAACCCTACCATCAGTAACACACTACGCCGCCAGGGACTCAAATCCTGCAGTGCAAGACGTGTCCCCCTGCTTAAGCCAGTACATGTCCAGGCCCGTCTGAAGTTTGCTAGAGTGCATTTGGATGATCCAGAAGAGGATTGGGAGAATGTCATATGGTCAGATGAAACCAAAATATAACTTTTTGGTAAAAACTCAACTCGTCGTGTTTGGAGGACAAAGAATGCTGAGTTGCATCCAAAGAACACCATACCTACTGTTAACTCTTCCGAGTCGGCGAACGCTTCGGCGCGTTCAAATCGCGGGCCGGCTTTAGGACCGCGCAGCATCCAAACCAAGTGACGCAGAGGGCTGCCGTCGATTTCATGCAGAAATGGAGACCCGAAGCTACGTTTTGAGTGTTTGTTTCATGTAAATACACCAACTAAAACCAAAGTTATGATAATTTCAATTCCATGAAAAAAGTGCGTCAAAATATGCGCTCTTTTATGAGCGCTTTGCATTTATTATAATAACTTTGTCGTCTTTTGTGATAAAAAGGAACGGAAAAAAACGTGTGCTTGTGCTAACCCGGTTCTTCAGGATGCACACGAGTATATAAACATTCATTCCCATGACAACTAGCCATTGCGAAAGAACGAACGAGAGGAATTAGTTCAGTTCATGAGTAGTTTTGGAGAGTTTTTCACGAGTTAGTATTTCAGACAGGGGTTCCACTTCAAAAAAGCACCAGCCATGTTCCTGTGGCCATTGCCAATGTTGCAGAGGCCAAAGACAAAGCCACAGCAGGCCGCAGGGTTTGTCAACGCTGTAAACAAGTTGACAAGAAGAGGTTTGTCACACCATGGAAGTGCAAGGCCTGTGATGTGGCTCTCTGTGTCATTGTGGACAGGAACTGTTTTGAAGAGTGGCACAAATAGGGTAAAGGCCAGTGGCTATACCTACTTTTTTTGTAAATAGTTGTGTATTGCTTGTATATATCTCAAGAATACTTTTATATGTTCATATTTGCACTTTGTGGTTCAATTTGAAGCTTTTTTTTTCATTTTGGACAGAAACTGTTTTGAGGAGTGGCACAAAAAGGTTTAGGGTTAGAATAGAAGAAAAACGCCAGTGGTTATACCTACTTTTTATTGTAAATAGTTATTTATTGCTTGTATATATCACCAAAATACTTTTATATGTTCATATTTGCACCTTGTGGTTCAATTTGAAGCTTTTTAAATGCTTGGTTCACCATGTTTGAGGGTTTTACAATAAAAAAAACCATCTTTTTTCTAAACGGACTTTGTGTTTTCTGTGTGTGTTTGGGTCCAGTGTGTTGAAATAGTATGTCAAAGTGAAAAACTTACTAACAGATCATATAGGTGAGGTTGTGCTGAAAAAAAAGATACCCAACATTGGTCTGGTAAACATTTCTTTATGTAGTATATCAGGGCAAAATTGAAGGTACCCAAAAACGGCCAAAAAAGCTCCAGACTCCGAAGAGTTAAGCATGGGGGTGGAAACATCATGCTTTGGGGCTGTTTTTCTGCAAAGGGACCAGGACGACTGATCCGTGTAAAGGAAAGAATGAATGGGGCCATGTATCGTGAGATTTTGAGTGAAAACCTCCTTCCATCAGCAAGGGCATTGAAGATGAAACGTGCTGGGTCTTTCAGCATGACAATGATCCCAAACACACCGCCCGGGCAACGAAGAGTGGCTTCGTAAGAAGCATTTCAAGGTCCTGGAGTGGCCTAGCCAGTCTCCAGATCTCAACCCCATAGAAAATCTTTGGAGGGAGTTGAAAGTCCGTGTTGCCCAGCGACAGCCCCAAAACATCACTGCTCTAGAGGAGATCTGCATGGAGGAATGGGCCAAAATACCAGAAACAGTGTGTGAAAACCTTGTGAAGACTTACAGAAAACGTTTGACCTGTGTCATTGCCAACAAAGGGTATATAAAAGTATTGAGAAACTTTTGTTATTGACCAAATACTTATTTTCCACCATAATTTGCAAATGAATTCATAAAAAATTTGTGATTTTGTGATTTTCTGGATTTTTTTTTCTCATTTTGTCTGTCATAGTTGACGTGTACCTATGATGTAAATTACAGGCCTCTCTCATCTTTTTAAGTGGGAGAACTTGCACAATTGGTGGCTGACTAAATACTTTTTTCCCCCACTGTATCTATCAGTCTGTCTACCCATTTACAGTGCCTTCAGAAAGTATTCACCCCCTTGACTTTTTCAGAATGTTGTTATTACAGCCTGGATTTAAAATTGATTAAATTGAGATTTTTTTGGGGTCACTGGCCTACTACACACAATACCCCATAATATCAAAGTGGAATGATTTTTTTTTTTTATGTTTACAAATCAAGAAAAAATGTAAAGCTGAAATGTCTTGAGTCAATAAGTATTCAACCCCTTTGTTATGGCAAGCATAAATACGTTCAGGAGTAAAAATGTGCTTATCAAGTCATATAATAAGTTGCATGGACTCACTCCGTGTGCGATAGTGTTTAACATTATTTTTGAATGACTACCTCATCTCTGTACCCCACACATACAATTATCTGTAACGTCCCTCAGTTGAGCAGTGAATTTCAAACACAGATTCAACCACAAAGACCAGGGATGTTTTCCAATGGCTCACAAAGAAGGGCACCTATTGGTAGATGGGTAAAAATTTTAAAATAAATATATTTGAGCATGGTGAAGTTATTAATTTAACTTTGGATGGTGTATCAATACACCCAGTCACTACAAAGATACAGGTGTCCTTGCTAACTTAGTTGCCGGAGAGGAGGGAAACCGCTCAGGAATTTCACCATGAGGCCAATGGTGACTTTAAAAGAGTTACAGAGTTTAATGGCTGTGGTAGGAGAAAACTGAGGATGGATCAACAACATTGTAGTTACTGTACGCCACAATACTAACCTTACTGACAGAGTGAAAACAAGGAAGCATGTACAGAATAAAAATATTCCAAAACATGCATCCTGTTTGCAACAAGGCACTAAAGTAAAACTGCAAAAAATGTGGCAAAGCAATTACATTTTTGTCCTTTATATGTTTGGGGCAAATCCAACACAACACATTACTGAGTCCCACTCTCCATATTCTCAAGCATAGTTGTGGCTGCATCACGTTATGGGTATGCTTGTAATCGTTAAGGACTGGGGAGTTTTCCGGATAAAATCCTAGAGGAAAACCTAGTTCAGTCTGCTTTTCACCAGACACTGGGAGATGAATTCACCTTTCAGCAGGACAATAACCTAAAAACAAGGCCAAATCTACACTGGAGTTGCTTTCAAGAAGACAGTAAATGTTCCTGAGTGGCTGAGTTACAGTTTTGACTTAAATCTAATTGAAAATCTATGGCAAGACCTGAAAATGGTTGTCTAGCGATGATCAACAACCAATTTAAAACAGCTTGAAGAATTTTGAAAAGAATGATGGGCAAATGTTGCACAATCCAGGTGTTTTATTTTTTATTTTACATTTATTTAACTAGGTAAGTCAGTTAAGAACAAATTCTTATTTACAATGACGGCCTACACCGGCCAAACCTGGACAACGCTGGGCCAATTGTGCGCCACCCTATGGGACTCCCAAGCACGGCCGGTTGTGATACAGCCTGGAATCGAACCAGGGGGTCTGTAGTGACACCTCAAGCACTGAGATGCAGTGCCTTAGACTGAGACTTACCAAGAAAGACTCACAGCTGTAATCGCTGCCAAAGGTGCTTCTACAAAGTATTGACTCAGGGGTGTGAATACTTATGTAAATGAATATTTTTCTATTTCATTTTCAATAAATTAGCAAACATTTCCAAAAACATGTTTTCACTTTGTCATTATTGTGTGTAGATGGGTAAGAACAAAAATATTTTTATCAATTTTGAATTCAGTCTGTAACGCAACAAAATGTGGAATAAGTCAAGGGGTATGAATACTTTCTGAAGGCACTGTATCTACCACTCGATCTTTAAATCCATCCACCTATCTAAAGTATCTGCTTTCTAGTATGCTATTGCAGCAGCATTGGAATTGCATTGGAGATGAGCTGAGCATTACAGTGCAGTATGAGGTCGATCTCATAACCATAGCAGTGTTGTTGCCTCCTACCTCTTGGCAGTAGGACAGGATCTGGTTGGGCTCTGTGAAGCAGCCTTGGCGGCCCTGAGGGTCAGGCTCCCATTGGCCAGTCTCAGGGTTCATATGCAGCAGCTGACGCCCACAGAACATGGCAATCTGCGGCTCGGCCACCAGGGGCCCCGGACCATTCACCTCCGCCATGGCCAAGGCCTAGAGAGAGGGAGGTAGACAGGGAGAGGAGAGGGGGTGAGGTGTGGTAGGAAGAGAAAAGAGAAGTTGAGAAATAGAAAGAGTAATAGATGGAAGGAGAGAGGGAAGAAGGTAGAAACATGGAGGGAGAGAAATACTTTGTTATGATTGTCCTGAGAGAGAGAGAGAGAGAGAGAGAGAGAGAGAGAGAGAGAGCGAGAGAGAGAGAGAGAGAGGTGAATAGCAGTCAATACAAACAAAGGGGTGGGATATTATCCCTCCCCCTCTCTTTCCTACCCTTTCTCCACCCTCCTCTCTCTTTCCTACCCTCTCTCAGCAGCCTGCTAGGTCTAGGATGTTGTTATTGATCATGGGATCCGTTCCCTCTGCCTGCAGCCTGGGGGTTGGGCCCAGGGGAGGCACCATGGAGGAACAAACACCAGCCGGCCCCGGCCCCGCTGCTCCCAGTCAGGTGTTAATACAAGCTCATTGACCGCCGGGCCACTTCAAGCACATTAACACACAGGAGAGGGAGGGAGGAGGGGAAGGGTAGGGAGAGGAAAGGAAAGGAGGAGAGTAGAGGAGGGAGGGGAGACAATGATGTACACTCTGCAGGAGATAATCTCCCCAGATGTAGAGACCAAACATGCTTGTTTTCTAACACAAGCTGGGTATTATGACGTCAATGCTTCACTAGGATTATTTTAGAAAGGGACATAGAGGGATGGAGTTATCAGGTGTTGTGTTCACACATACAGTGTATATATAGCACAGAGATATGACTCCTCTTTGGTGCAGAAAAAGTAGAGGAATATTTCAAAGACATGCTTGAATGTCTACCTAACAAATAATTCAGCTCAGTCTTGCCGTTCTTCTGGCTGAACAGCCATGAGTAACTTATTTACATTTTAGTCATTTAGCAGATGCTCTTATCCAGAGCGACTTACAGTTAGTAAGTGCATACATTTTTCATGCTGGCCCCCCGTGGGAAACGAACCCACAACCCTGGCGTTGCAAACTACACGGGGCCATGAAAACTGATATGACGGAAAGTTCCAACAACATCACTATCCATCCTGAAACTGGCAATTGGCAACCCAGAACCCATTCAACCCGTCTTTATGACTGGCCCAACTGCTTTAATCTCCATAGACGAACAGATGGACTGACAGGCAAGAAGAGCAACACTCAGCCAATTAGCATCAAGATGCCCATGGGTAAGGGGGAGAGGAGAAAAGAGAGAGAGGAAAGCAGGGCGAGTGACGTCTGATCAAAGGGAAGCTCTGCCTCAGCCGACTGCTGCTAAAGTGTTTGAAGTTCTAATTAAAATGTATATCCAAAATAAATATATACAAAACCCATGAATAAATATACAATAAATATAATAGGACCGGAGGAGTCTGTGCATTAGAGCCCCACTTTAGATATGAATGTAAACTATGATAATGAGTTGATTGGATTATAATTAAAGCTGTATGGACGTGGCTGAGCGAGGCCTTGAGGAATGGGGTTTGGAGCGCCAGAATGGTGTAGAGATACCCAATTTATTTGGAATTCAGCGATAATCTTAGCTCTGTGCTTTATTAATTCAAGTCTCTATGACTACTGGTACTCAACGTGACTGTTTTAATTAAAGTCTATGACTACTGGTACTCAACGTGACTGTTTTAATTCAAGTCTATGACTACTGGTACTCAACGTGAATTTAGATTCTTCTCCCCATATACAGTAAGTGGACATAGAACTGTTTGATGCCAAACATGCATATTAGTAAGAGTGGTGCTTAGAGATGTTGATTTCTGCTGAACTGGCAGCTTTCTGGGAGCATGTTATTGATGTGTGTTAAGGAAAGTGTCAGTGGTTTGTGTGTGTGTGTGTGAATAAAAGTGCTTGCTTAAGCTACACACAGCCCACACTGACAAGCCACTGTGCCTGCTGAGGAAGTGGTTATATAGATATGTCTCTTCTACTCGGGGGAAGGTCAACGGCACAAAAAATACTTCTGGATATTTGAGAAGATGACCTGACAGCACTGCTGTGCTCCAGCCTTCATCCAGCACCCCCACCCCCTGCAGCCTGCGCTCTCCAGTCCTGCACTTCAGCAGAAAATCGATGGTGTACGCCTGCAACTGGATCGCCACGCTCCCTCCGATCAATAGGAACCCATCTGGAGCCAGAGGGCCTGACCTCCAGCGTGGAGAGGAGGCTCCGCAGCACCTCAGCCAATCCCTGCTCTCCCTGATTCACCACCAGATTAGATGGGCCTGCTGTGATAACAAATACTAATCACAAACACTCTGCCTGCGTTCCCTAAATGTGCCCTGGATTTGTTAATACATTGTTCTATCTTCTCCTCCTCCTCTCTTTCTCTCTCTCTCCTCTTCAAAGTTACTATGCCCTGCCAGCAGTTATGGACTCATGCCGTCTTTGACCCACTTTGGGAATAATCGCTCTGTATTTCACCATGTCACCACCATGACAACCATCACGCAAGGACAGACATCACACCCTCCCACTCTCTCCTACTCCTCCGTGGTGTGACTGCCACCCACGCAGTGTCTCAGTATGGCGCTAACTGGGAAAGTCACATGTCTGATGGCATGAAAGTACCACTGCAGGCCATGATAGTCTAAAGTTTAAATGTTCCAATCAGAGCTCCATTTCATTCAGTTTAGTAAATACATTGACATGGAAATATAAGCCCTGGCATATTTGCATTACAGTCATTTTGAAATTCATAATTCAAATTCTGAATTGACATCAAGGCTGCCTAGCTTCATAAAAGGTGCAGTATCTCTCAATTTGTGTTTCATTCATAAATGCATGAAATCTGTGAATTTCAATAGAGAGACCCAGGAGAGATGTAAACTCTCCCACCCACACACCGACTCATTAAAGAAGCCTTGTATCTCAGTGAAACAGACAGGCTGACTAACACTGTTGTTTACAGTAAGGTACGGTACAGTTACATGCGTGTGAACAGGAACTAGCTGCCGTCACCGTCATTTACTTATGACAATTGTTTACCACACCTGTTCAACAGTCACCTGGGTCCTATTCAATCTGGTGGGTTGCAGATAAAAATTTACTGCATAGACCTGGCATGACACTTTATTACACATAATATAATATATATATATATATATATATATATTCTATACAATACACCTCTATCTGGAACATTTTGAACATCAACATCCTAACTGTTTAGGTCCCTGTCAGGAGATGGATTCTATCTGGCTGTGACAAGACAGCATGCCCTCTGCTAATTGGTCTAAACGAGTTTTAGGAGGAAGTACCAAAAGCCTGAATGAGAGGTGCTGGTGTGGTCTTGGCGTTTGCCTTGGCACACTAGGAGAATCTGCTAGCCAGACACAAATCCTGTTTAAATGGTAAATCAATCAATCAGTCAAGTGTAGCCCCCATCTAACCAAGGCAGTCAATTGAGAAGATGCTCTTGCTAAAGGGTAGCAGGATAGAGAGGTAGCTCAAACACATTTCTAGGTGTACTACTTACCACAAAATGTGTCATTTATTTTTCAATATATTCAGTAGACTTTTAGTATTAGTCATCATGGAACTGAGAATTAGTCTCACATAAAACATATGTTTTGTCAGTTTGACTCCTCTTAATTATAGCTCTAATTGTCTCTTCGTTCTCTGCTCAGTAGAAAAGCCAGCCTGGGTTCCTCTGCCTGCCAGGATGGGGGCTTTTCATTATATTTCTTAGTCAATTAGGCTTAAGACCACTAAGACCTCTCTGCTGTGACCACAGTTGCGTGAGCCTCTCAGACAGACACCCCTGGCCGGCCGGCTGACTGGTCTGGCCGGCTGGCTGAGACGTCCTGATCCACACTGCTTCACAATAACACCTCCCAATCTGTTAACAACTACCCAGCTCCTCCAAGGAGAGAGAGGAGAGAGGCTGAGGCTAGAGAGCTGCTCTGTTCTGTTCTTTCCCCCCTGGGCCAACCTTAATTGGACAGTTAAGGACTGGATGTCTCCCAGAGATGTACAGTACAGTGTGAGCTGAGGTGTGTGTGTGTGTGTGTGTGTGTGTGTGTGTGTGTGTGTGTGTGTGTGTGTGAGAGTGTGAGAGAGAGAGAGAGACAGGAGGGGTGTGTGTGTGTGGTGCCCCATCCCCATCCTTCTCCCTCCACCTCCTTCAAGGCCCTCTCTCTCCCCCTTCCCCCTCTCTCTCTCCCACATATCACACCTTAGAGGAGTGCTCCCTGACTCCACCACTGCAGAGGCACAGAGCCAAAGAGCCAGAGTCCACCTTATCATTAATAATTGCCTGTTGACACAAGCCCAGAGACATCGATTGCCTTTTTGCCTTTTCCTGGTTCCTTCCCTCTCGCTTGCTCCTCATTGTCCCTTGATATTTCCCTCTCTTTCTCTCCTTCACCATCATCCACTAACTGGGGATGGATGGACTCTCTACTCCTTTCATGAACAGTACTCCCTAGTCCCTATGTTCCCTAGCCTCCAAGGAAGAAAACATCCCAAGGAGGTATTGAGTACTCTGACACAAAGAGCACAACGGGCAGAGGGAAGCACAGCGGTCTGGGGATATCCTAGCATAGCATGAAGAAAGAGAGAGAGAGTCATTCTCATTTCTCAGATGCACCTCTGATAGGAGGTAGTTAAGATGCAATGCAGATGTGATAAGCAGATGCATGTGTGTGTGTGTGTGTGTGTGTGACTGAGTACAGGAGACAAATAAAGAGACCAAATGAAAACCATAATCTTGCCCATAAATATCTCTGTGTCAGCTGGGCTGAGCTCGTGCCAGGCCAGGGCTGCCATCAAATTTGCATATTCGTCTGGCATCACCACGGCCCACCCCCTTGTCTAATTAAATATGCAGCACCTGTTCCCCCCTGCCTGCCTTTTGTTGCAGGATGACTTCATCCTCTTTAATGATGCAATCTCCCAGCCCTACACGGCAAGGCCAGGCAGCGGAGGGGGAGGAGCCACTCCATCATCTGTCAACCCCTTTAATCCATCAGATGGCCCTGCCATAAATGTTAGCTGAGCTGCACGCCTGACACCGACTCATTTGGCTCAGCACTTCCTGTGTGTGGGGGGAGGAGTCCTAGCCTAATGGCACTGATCTAAGGTCAGTTTGGATTTCTAGTGGTTAAGGTTAGGACTTGGGGAGGGTCAGCTGATCCTAGATCAGTAGCTAAGGGTTGCGTGTTGAGAGGACCATGTTGTGGCCATGGTAAGTCTATGTTCAGACTGGTGTACTGATGTTGATGGATGTTCAGTGGGGCCGGGTGTTGAACCGGAGACATGGGACCTCTGAGGGGTTAATCCCCTGGCAGCAGGGATCTGGGTTATTTCACCTGCTTATTTACAACCCTCCTCCCTGTGGGCTGGCTGGCCGGGTCCCACCGCAAGGGCGAGGCACACACACACACTTCCACACACAGATAAGCACATACACTGGGATACATTCTGTACACAAATGTACTCACACACACACAGATTCAAAACACATGAATGCATATGAACGGATGCACAGAAAGGCATGCACGTCCACACACACTTACAAACACACGCACACACAGCCTGAAGCCTTGCTGTGCCTGTCTCTGTGGTCCTCTGCAGCACAGATGGTCAGATAGTGGGACGCTGCCCGGCCCTGCTGCCCCTCCCTTCCTCCCTCCCTCCCACATTTCCTGTGCCCCCTCCCTCCCTCCCTCCCTCCCACATTTCCTGTGCCCCCTCCCTCACATCCCTCCCTCCCTCCCATCCCTCTGCTCTCTGTCCTCTCCTTCCCTCCCTCCCACCTTAACTTTGCTCTCTGTACCCTCCCTCTCAATCCACCCCTCCACTCTCTGTCCTATCCTTCCCTTCTAGACTATCCCTCCATCCCTCCCACATTCCCTTTGCTCTCTGTCCTCTCCCTCCCTCCCCTCCCTCCCTCCCTCACACCTCCCACTGACTGCTGATCTAGGCTCTCTCCAGCCAGCCTCTCCCACCCCAACCTCCCTTCCCTCCCTCCCTCACCATACCTTCCCTCCCCACCGACCCCTTCCCTCACCACCACACCTTCCCTCCCCACCCACCCTCACCACCAACCCTCACCACCATACCTTCCCTCTCCATCCCTCCCCACCATACCTTCCCTCCCCATCCCTCACCACCAACCTTCCTTCCCCATCCCTCCCCACCATACCTTCCCTCCCCATCATACCTTCCCTCCCCAACACACCTTCCCTCCCCACCCACCCTCACCACCATATCTTCCCTCTCCATCCCTCCCCACAATACCTTCCCTCCCCATCCCTCACCACCATACCTTCCCTCTCCATCCCTCACCACCATACCTTCCCTCCACATCCCTCACCACCATACCTTCCCTCCCCACCATACCTTCCCTCCCCACCCTCACCACCATACCTTCCCTCCCCATCCCTCACCACCAACCAACCTTCCTTCTCCATCCCTCCCCACCATACCTTCCCTCCCCATCCCTCACCACCATAATTTCCCCTCCCCATCCCTCACCACCATACCTTCCCTCCCCACCCTTCCTGCCCTCACCATCCTTCACCACCTCCACACAAAGCCCCACACTCTGCCTTTGTTCCGTCCCGTCCCTGGGCCCATACTAAATGGTCAAATGGATTTGGGAGCATTCATCATCGTATTCACAGTGTTTAATTATTCATTGGCTTTGCCAGGGTCTCTTCCTCATCTGCCAGGCAGCCTGGGCACATGATAATGAGAGAGGCGCGTCAGACACACAGGGATGCAGAGAGTCTGGTCTGGTGGAGCGTGGAGACAGTTAAGGTGTGAGTCCCAAATGGGGGCCCTGATCACAAATAGTACACTATATTTATAAAATGAATTGGACGATATAGGGAATAGGATGCCATATTGGAGGCAGGTTAGCTCTCAACATCGACCCCCATCATTGCTCCATACTAATTAAAACCACACTGCTAATTGTTGTGGTTTCCAGTTTGTGCTGGGTACCTAACACAACAGTTTGGTGGCGGATTGGTAGACCCTTAACCTGCTGGTCTTAACCCCCAATGTACGCTATCTTTGTTGGGTGGCCAATTTGATACGCAATTTTATATGCACAATAGCAGACATCATACCAGGGATATGGTTAGGAGGCCACTGTTCAATAAAAGCTGTCATTAATTAAAATCAATAGAACAATGTTTACTATGATCTTCGTGGGCTATACTCAGCCTTGTCTCAGGGTAGTAGGTTGGTGGTCTGTTGATATCCCTCTGGTGGTGTGGGGGCTGTGTTTATGGCAAAGTGGGTGGGGTTATATCCTGCCTGGTTGGCCCTATCCGTGGGTATCGACGGACTGGGCCACAGTGTCCCCCGACCCCCCGTCTCAGTCTCCAGTATTTATGCTGCAATAGTCTATGTGCCGGGGGTCTAGGGTCTGTCCTAGCTGGTGTAATTATCCTTTCTTATCTAGTGTCCTGTGTAGAAGACTTCACGGATCCACCTGTGACCGAATACCCGAGACCTGGTCCGGGACCCGAGTGGGTTTGGATCCAGAATTCTAAATAATGTAATGGATCTGGGTCGAATCTGATATGTTTGTCATGGGTCTCGGGTGTGTGTCATTTTAACTGACTTGTCCGGAAAGGCCCTTACAGATCCGAACGTGACTGCTGCAGTAGAGAGAGAGAGATACATTTGATCATTTATGCTGCTGCTCTTGCTTTTCACAAGAGTGGAGCCTGGTGCGTGTAGCTTGTTTTTGTGGTTGTTGTTGGCCAATCATAAGTCACCAAAGCGGCAATAGGCTACAGTCATAGAGCCTCTGTGTGTGGCACAAGTTAGGAGATATCTAATCAATGGAAGATGGAATTAAAATGACAGAATTAAAAGTTAAAGGAGAAGGATAGGCTACAACAACCAAGAGCCAACAGGTAGGCTGCTACTTAATATTCTGAAAGGAGTTGTTGTTATTTGTAACTGTAGGATGGGAAAGAGCATGCACTGCAGCCTCAAGTAGCCTAGCTAGCTAATGTTAGCTTAACTAGCTTCTCCCAGTTTGATGCAGTCAAGACAGGTACTACAGAATCATATTGATGATAAATAACCTAGCTATGGCAGCTTTTAGTCTACTATAGCGCGAGTCGGCTTGGTTGGTTGTTGTCTCTCGTCTCTACTCCCCGTGTCACTCACTCACAGTTTGGCCCCTCCCCCACCTGCTAGAGTGGCACCTCTCTTTCCCTCTCGAGTTTTATCAGCTCTGGTTACTAAAGTAGCTTAAAAAATGACTTTTCTGCTGCTTCCCTCATTCAGATCGGGTCTGGATCCGACCAGGTCTATACGGAACGGGTCTAGTTGTCCTCGGGTCCATTCGGAACCGGTCTCAAATTAATGTATGCATATCGGGTCCAGTTGGGAAAGGTCTATTTCGGAACGGGTAGAACTCTAGTGCTCTAGTCCCGTGTGATCTTAAGTATGCGCCCTCTAATTCGCCCATCTTTCTCTCCCCTCTGGAGAACCTGAGCCCAAGGACCATGCCTCAGAACTACCTGGCCTGACGACTCCTGGCTGTCCACAGTCCACCTGGTCGTGCTGCTGATCCAGTTTCTGCAGTTCTGCCTGCGGCTATGGAACCCTGACCTGTTCACCGGATGTGCTACCTTGTCCCGGACCTGCTGTTTCAACCCTCCATCTGCTATGAAAAGCCAACTGACATTTACTCCTGAGGTGCTGACCTGTTGCACCCTCTATAACCACTGTGATTATTATTTGACCCTGCTGGTCATCTATGAACGTTTGAACATCTTGACGAACATTCTGGCCTTAATGGCCATGTACTCTTATAATCTCCACCAGGCACAGCCAGAAGAGGACTGGCCACCCCTCAGAGCCTGGTTCCTCTAGGTTTCTTCCTGCCTTTCTAGGGAGTTTTTCCTAGCCACCGTGCTTCTACATCTGCATTGCTTGCTGTTTGGGGTTTGAGGCTGGGTTTCTGTATAAGCACTTTGTGACATCTGGTGATATAAAAAGGGCTTAATAAATACATTTGATTGATTGATACTATATAAAACAAAACAAAATTAACTGGACATCTAGTCAAACACATTCTCTCCCTGTAATGGAGGATTGTTGTCTTTCCTTCAACCCAGAAACGAATGGATACCTTACACAATCAAATCAAGTAAAACATGGCTTAGATCACCCTGGTAGAGGGTCTTATTTATGGTGATGCTGTGACATCATTGTCCCTCAGTGACCCTGACTTCATCCAACCAGATTACAGAAGTGCCCCGTCCAGCTGGGCCCACTGGGAGCAGATGGTCTATAATCACCCTGGCCACCCCACAGGTCACTTAGGGCCACAGCACCGGCCAGAAACCAGCCAAATCCCACAGAGCAACATCTCATTTAATTTCAGATGTGGTCCAGAGATGGAGAGATTGGTCAGTAGTTAAGAGAAACCAGTTAATGATTGTGATCGTCATATTTTTTGGATTCCATTTCTATGGTGGCTATACATCTTAGAAGTAAACATATGCATAATTTTTCAGAGCCATATTTGCACTGGTCTCTACATATAAAGAATCACAGATACTTAGTAGAAAAAACCTTACTAGCCTACAGCTCCATTCTCTGAGCGTCTACTTATCATCCAGACCTATCAGGCTATGGCTTGGAGAATAATCAGCACAGCAAGTCGTGACTTACAGTAGTCATCTCTCCTCTGCAAAGGTCCCGAACTCCTCTTGAAGTCATGAGGCTGTGGTTGGCTGGCAGAGTTCTGTCTCCCACAGACCATGGGACCAGTCCAGGTCCAGGAGCATATCACCCAACAGACTTGTAGGCATCTTCTCCACACAACTCCCACATTCACACAGATGGGTTCGCAGCCATGACTCACCACAAGCACACACACACACGCACACACGCACACACACCCACACACGCACATAGTATTTGTATCAATGCTATAGCGTAGGAGCACATTTGAATCATTCCATTCAATGTATCCATCTTCTGTCCACAGTCTGTCTCTCCACTCCTTTAGCAGTGGTTTGTATAAGCCATTCATACACCAAGGGTTTTATCTAGCTGTTTTCTTCCATTAGAGGTAAGGCTTTAGTCATTTGAAATATGGACTTACACTAGTGCACCGCTTTTGTTATTATCCATTTGTTTACCTAATACTTTCTCTCCATTTACTAAACAATAGAACAGAGACTGAAGACACAGCAAGAGTAATCCTAACAGTCAATGAAACCCTTACAATCCAATCAACACAATAACTCCCATTGACACTAAAATGATTAATCTGCTCTGGAATGATTCCTATTGAGGCACTCATTCCCAGACTTGTTATAGTGACGGTTCTATTGTAGGGAGGATTTCTCTTTAGAGAATGTAGTGTTTGGTTAAAAAGAGGCCACCCCACCTCGCTTCTCTCTCCCCCTCTCTGACGCCAACGTCTTGACAGATGCATTCTCTCTCTGAGTCATGGACCTTCGTCACACTAGAAGTGGGAACCTACGTGCATACAGTAACTGTTCTGATCTTCAAACACACAAACAACATAAGAGGTCTGCCCAGAATGTCCTGCTGTGCCAATGTCTCCACTGACGGACTATGGAGGATCTTGGACTTTGAGAAATTGAACTTGTCTAACTTTGCGTTTGTAGGCTGTAAAATGTTCCTGTACCTCAAAAGCCCAACAGTCAGTCAATACCCAACAGAAGCTAAACAACATGTCCACTGAAATTAACATTAGATAACCTGTTCCATCGACAGAAACCATGAAATGCAATTTCCATGTAACATACTGGTCGTCCATGACAGTGAACATCACACTGGTAACGTCATCATGTTAATGCCAAGTGTTGTGTAACTCTTCCAGATGTGATGAAGGCCTCCCAGCTGAACTGTTACAGATGTAGGATCTTAATTTGAACACCCTTTTGTTGCTGAGAATTTTATAACATACTGCATATATAATAATACTGGTCAAATTAAGATCCTACATCTGTACCTCAGGGGTTTAAGGAATCAAAGGCTTAGCTCTAGTTGGAGTTGCACTGCAGATCCCTCTGATTGCAACACCCAACTGTCAACTCCACTGCCACCCAATCAGAGATTGAGCACTAGAGACTTCACTCAGCGACTGGCTGATTGCCTCAGATAAAGACTGGCAGTATGGACAGCAGCCTCAACACCTATCTGTGTAAACACATTTAAGGAGATATTGAGAAGAAAACAGGCTGGATAAAAACACCATGGCCTAAACACTGTCAACTAATTTCCTTTTCTCTAAAACATCTTTGAAGGCCTATTCCTGTTTCACAGTCTGTCAGCTACATATCTTGCCTAAAAAATACAATATTATCCTTCGTAAAAGCGCATCTAAAGAGCTGGTGTGCAACAGAGATGATATGTTTACTCAATGTCAATGGTTTAATGGTTTAAATTACTAGATTAACATGAAACCATTGTTATATATGATACCATGTAAGCTTGTCTGTCATTTTATTGCATGTGTGTTTTATGCCATGGCCAAGGTGGCAAAAAAAAATCCCTACAGTGATTAATAAAGCATAGGCCTAATACAATCTAATCTAACGTTATTTTTATCTCTCATTATTCAAATGAAACATAAAAAATATAATAATAGTGACATAGTGAACCAGTACAGCGTGGGCTTCAGCTAAGCAGGCTAACCAGGCCTGTAGCTGGAGAGGACAGGACAGCAAGGACAAGGCAGGACAGCACAGCACAGCACAGCCAGAACAGGACAGCACAGCCAGAACAGGAGAGGACAGCACAGCCAAGACAGAAGACAGGACTGCATCTCCTTTTCTCCTCGATTTGAGCGTGGTGAATCAGCCACCCTACGTTTAACTGGCTGACAGACAGCCGGTGCTTTGAACTGGGTTTGTTACCAGTGTGAAATTGTTAATCCACCAGGTTATTGGAGATTAGGGAAAATGCGTGAGATTGGATTTTGGGGGGGATAAAGACGATACTAAGCTTTTTTCTTTCCTTTCATTCGGTCTTTCTTTAAAATAAAATACAAGGAGGTACATGAGTGGCAGAGCCATTGTAGACTACTGTACAGGGGCCAGATTTGAGGAGGTATTAAAACAATGTCATAATAGATTTAGAACATCTGGATCAACATTTTGATCCACTCATTCATGTGTGTATTCTGTCAGGCAGCATCTCTGATCTGTCAGCTCTCCTCTCCTCTCATCTCGTCTCCTGCTCTAGGCCTTGTTCCCTACATCTCTCTCTCCCTCTTTCTCTCTCTCTGCTGCCATCTTTATTGAAGTATTTCCCCCTCTCCCAGGAGATGTCTTCTGTTCTGTTCTGCTCTGCCTCTCTTAAAATGGATCTGTGCATCATTTTCTCCCCTTCACTACCAGCATACTTTCTCTGGAAATGGCTTTCTGAGTTGTTCTCTACGTCCTACTCTGTATGCAGGAGGTTTTCCTAAGCAGGGCTATTTGGCGCGGGGGGTCCGTGGGCCTGTGGTACGTGTGCATATTTAATAGATGGCGGTGAATTTGGAATATTCCACTGCTTGATCTCTCAGCCAAACACACAGACTGACTCCCACACCACTGGTAGTTAAGATTGGAGGAGTGTCAGAGAGAGAGAGTGAGAGAGAGATGTGTAACATGAGCGGTGCATGCACCCAATTAATTGTATCCCATATATTAGATTCCGGTGAAGAATACAACTACTCATTTTTACCCGTGGAACTCATCCCCCTCTCCTTCACTTTACTTCTCTCCCTCTCTCCCCCCTCACACAAATTCATGCCCCTGCAGTTCTCCGGAGTGCCTGTATGGCAGATGCATTATATGGAAATACGGCTTTGAGTTATTTCAGACAGTGTGTGTGTGTGTGTATGTGTGTGTGTGGCGGGGGGGGAACTGAGGGATGGCAGAGGCGGTTAAAATGAGAGATTATTCGACCATTGTGGCTGACAACACAAGATAAAAGCTGAGATCACTCTATAAAGGCGCACACGCACGTGCACATGCTCTCACAGACACACATAAGGCCAATACACAAACTAGACACCTGCAATTACACTGTGAAGCCCACACACCTCACAGGTTTGACCTATTGTCCTGGCCATTCTGACATTGTGTTGTATCATTTGAACGCTCACACATTACATTCACACTCCCAAGTGGTGGGGAAGTGGCCACTCCAAGCCCTGAGGTCTGGCCCCAACACCTACTGAGTGAGTGCACACGATGTCGTCCCCCCCCCCCCCCCCCCCATGTCTCTCATGTACCTGCCACCCCAGCATGTTTGGCACATTGTTCATGATAATAAAGGAGCTGCTAATGTGCTTTTAATGAACAGGAGGCAGAGCATCTGGGGCTGCCTGGGAGAGAGCTGTGGAGAGAGCTGTGGGGAGGCTGGGGTCTCTGCTGTGCTCCACTGAGGTGGCCAGGGACCTCATTTATAACCATTGCGTGAATTTCACACTAACTTTCTGCGTGCGCCATTTCTGAAAAGACTGCGCACATACAGAAATATTGAGATTTATAACAGTGTGCACATGAACGAGCATTAAAATGCATGTAAAACGCCTCCATTCACCTTTTATGGTGACAATAACACCCTTTATTTGCTGTATAATTTGGAACCATTGGCATTAGGCCACGGCATGGAAAAGACTAATTATTGTTCAATATTTAGTTTATCAATAGATTATTGGGTTTCTTTGTCCTGCCTTCCTATAGGCTTTGCGATTAAATAGCCAATGATGTCACGCTCCAATCGCACAGCAATACTGTAGCCTACCCTACTGTCAACGATTTTACATAAGCTACCGGTCTATTTACGTTGTTGGCAGAATGTTTTCATCTTTAGCAGTAATTTACGCTGTATCTGGAAAAGGACTGTCAGTTTCTGAATGAAAAAACTATGGTAAATTGTCATGGACCTGTCAGCAGAACGTTTGAATTCAACCAACCTAAATATGATGGACTGCCCGTGAATTCTGAAACATTGTAGGGCAGGCTACTCCAAAAACTTAAATTACAGTACTTACAGTTCTATTTCTGTGTTTTTGTTCTACTTGATATTCATTACTGCATTGTTGGGAATGAGCAAACAAGAAAGGCATTTCACTGTACTTGTGCACATGACAATAAAAACTTGGAACTTGATACACATAGGCCTACTTCAACGTAAAAGATCAGCTGTTACATTCGACTGTATACCGGTAATATAAACCGTGCTGCCTACGATAATGCAAAACTTTAAATACGTATAGCGTATCTATTTACTAGGCTACTAGGTCCAATTAAATGAGAGATGTGCGTGGTAATTTGTTGTATGGCTCCTTAGGGAATATGAACCCATCATGGCCAGAAAAGGTGAGGAATACTGTATATTCTGCAATGGTTATGAAAAAATAAAATTGGTGAAAAAGATTCCTATGTCTAATTATACGATTCCTATGTCTAATTATACGTTTCCTATGTATAATTAATTCTGATTCTAAAAAAACAAACAGATTTTCACTCTTCTCACTAATGGCAAATGGTTGCATTCTTGTTAATATGTTTTCCTGTTATTAGTTTTTTTATGAATACGTTTTTCATCATATCCCCCATTAGCACAAAATACTTACTTGTCAGCTTTCAGTAGAACACTAGCCGATGTGCATACACATGGTCTGATGCAGGACTCTCCAACCCTGTTCCTGGAGAGCTACCCTCCTCTAGGTTCACTCCAACCTGTTATAACTAACCTGATTCAGTTTATCAAGCAGCTAATTATTAGAATCAAGTGCGCTAGATTAAGGTTGGACTGAAAACCTACAGGACGGTAGTTCTCCAGGAACAGGGTTGGAGAGCCCTGGTCTAAAGATTGCGGGGAGATGAGCACATTCTCATGTCAAGTACATTTTTTATAAATACCAACTTTTGCTTGAAAACTTGCGCATGCACATTTTGGGGTATATTTTGTACGTACGTACGGTTTATAAATGAGGCCCCAGGGGAACCCAGCTCTCACACACTCCATCTCACCCCTTCTCGCTCTCTTTATTTTCCCTCTCTCTCTGTGAAGTGAGGGTAGGAAATTTCCACGAGGAGCGGAGGCTCCGCTAAAGGACTAATTAATGAAACACGCATCACGGCACACCCCGATGACACACTCACACGTTTTTCATCAGATTCCTCTCATCTATCATACCTCTCTCCATCTACCACTCTCTCACTCGCTTGCTCACATCACACACTTACGCATACATTTTCCACCCTCCCTCCCTCCCTCCCTCCCTCCCTCCCTCTTTCTCCCTCTCAGCAGGATCACTTGGCCACTGAGACCCGTTGCCATGGAAACACCTCCCACCGGAGCTGGCTACCTTCCCTGTTACCGTAGCAACTGGCTCCCTGCAGAATTTCAAACACGCCACTTGGTCTCTCGCTCTCTCTCTCTCTTTCGCCCGCTCTCACTGTCTGTGTCTGATAATTGTGTCTCCATGTTTGCTCAGTGATATGGGCTCAGTAGGTCACTGATGGCTGGAGGAATGGTTGGTTAGGCATGTTTAGCGTTGCCTGCTGGTTGTTGTTCAGTTTATACATCCATTAAATTGCCCGTCAACATGGAAGTATGCATTTGTGGGGAAAGACAACATCGGACAAAATGTTTTCAAGAATTCTGGCACGGAGCTGGTGTCAGTCCGTGCATGATATTCTGACTGCTTACCCCTGTCGATGGTATGCTTTATACATGTTTCTTGCTAACCTGTTATTGGAGATTGTGGATTTATACAATTTCCATGTAAATGCCTACACATGCTTATTGGTAATTTCATGTCTTTATTTCATGCCGGTGATATTTGATTGGTCAATATTGGTATGTTCTAGGTGGGAGGATATCCCAGGTATTATGTAAGCCTTGTCATTTCGGTCTCTGGCAGACAGGGGTAAGGCTGGCATACTGCTGGTTCAGGCATGATTGAGGCCTGCGTTATTTGAGTTTAACTTATTATTTGATTTACTTTGTTATCCCCAGTTTATGGTACCTGTCTTAGTCATCGTCCTGTTTGTTGTACAAATATACACAGTGTACAGTTTGCCACCCACTCTCCTGCACATTAAATAAATGTCCTCCCCCTGGACACTGCCCTGCTACGACTTGTCTGCCTCCTCTCTGAAACCTCCATCGCAAGAGCGCCTTCTTTACAAATTCCTAGAAACAATTGACACATTGGAATGTGGAATGACACTGCATCTTGCTTCAGAACAGACTGTGCCTCTCTTTCCTTATTTTTTTATCATCCTCGCCCTCGATCTTCAAGTCTGAATCTGTTCTACTGACAGCTGCTGTGATATGACTGACACACACACACACATTTGCATTTCCTTGACACAGTCATTATCATGGAATCCACACTACCATCCCTATCACCATGTATGAACTGACTGCAGGTGACTCACCATGTAGTGGAGGTATCACTTCACCACATGATAATAGCACAATAATATCAGTCTTTTCACTTTTTCACATAAAGGTCAACAATACAAAATCTAGTACACTATACAATTCAGATAAGGCTACATACAACCCTACATGCTCTAGTCCTCAAACAGTAGGCTATGCAATTCAGATAAGGCTACATATCACCATGTTACATGCTGTAGGGCTACAACTATCACTGTGAGAGGCTTGACACAATCTCTCCACTCAATCTGTCATCTGTCTTGAGCCTGTCACTCCCAGACACAGCTCAGGGCCTCTTTATATGAACACTGCATTGTGTTATTGCTTTCCTGCTATTCTCTCTATTTAAATCACATTTAAAGAAATGGGTTGAGGGCTGGCATCTTGTCATGAAGCGAGATGGAAAAATAGGCACTGCGGATAACAGGCCGGGAATAGTGTTATGAAATAAAGCCAGGATGACATGTCCTGTCTTGTACTGCCCTGTCTGTGTGTGTAACTGCATGTCCTGTCTGTGTGTGTGTGTTATTTCAACCTGTGCCACTCTGGTGAGATAATGTGTTGCAGGGTGCAGTCTGCTGGTCTGTCTGTGCTCCAGTCCCTTAGTAGATTAAACATTAGTATTATCTCATTTCCTCAGGCCATCATGTCCCAATAGACTGTCAGATGGAGGAGAAGAATGGTTTAATCATTCAGACGATCTGTAAAATGAACCCTCTCTGTCCAGGCCTGGAAACCTCCATTTGAGCTTCTTGTCCTTTATAAACCTTTTTTTTTGTAGACAGAAGTGGACTCATGCAAAATATCAAATTTGTCAGTGGAGCTAGCGTGAATATTGGCTGGTGTGTGCAGCAGAGAGAGCTTGGCCTTGACCATGGTGAGCTGGGGGATGAATGAAATATTGAGCCGTCTCAATCTCGGTCTCTTTCGGAGTCCTATTGTCACAATAGCTGTTCCCTTCCATATTGCAGCGGATTTGGAGGGTAGCCTGACTGAGAATTGAACACAGGTCACCTTAGCCATTACACCAAGAGGTCTGAACCTCTTGACAAGGTTGCAAGGTGTTGTACTAAGGTCACTACAACATGTTTACAACCACGGTATCCTCGGTACATACACTACTTTGTGGCAATACAGTAAGATATACAGTGCGGAGAACAAGTATTTGATACACTGCCGATTTTGCAGGTTTTCCTACTTACAAAGCATGTAGAGGTCTGTAATTTTTATCATAGGTACACTTCAACTGTGAGAGACGGAATCTAAAACAAAAATCCAATAAAATCACATTGTATGATTTTTAAGTAATTCATTTGCATTTTATTGCATGACATAAGTATTTGATACATCAGAAAAGCAGAACTTAATATTTGGTACAGAAACCTTTGTTTGCAATTACAGAGATCATACGTTTCCTGTAGGTCTTGACCAGGTTTGCACACACTGCAGCAGGGATTTTGGCCCACTCCTCCATACAGACCTTCTCCAGATCCTTCAGGTTTCGGGGCTGTCGCTGGGCAATACGGACTTTCAGCTCCCTCCAAAGATTTTCTATTGGGTTCAGGTCTGGAGACTGGCTAGGCCACTCCAGGACCTTGAGATGCTTCTTACGGAGCCACTCCTTAGTTGCCCTGGCTGTGTGTTTCGGGTCGTTGTCATGCTGGAAGACCCAGCCACGACCCATCTTCAATGCTCTTACTGAGGGAAGGAGGTTGTTGGCCAAGATCTCGCGATACATGGCCCCATCCATCCTCCCCTCAATACGGTGCAGTCGTCCTGTCCCCTTTGCAGAAAAGCATCCCCAGAGAATGATGTTTCCACCTCCATGCTTCACGGTTGGGATGGTGTTCTTGGGGTTGTACTCATCCTTCTTCTTCCTCCAAACACGGCGAGTGGAGTTTAGACCAAAAAGCTCAATTTTTGTCTCATCAGACCACATGACCTTCTCCCATTCCACCTCTGGATCATCCAGATGGTCATTGGCAAACTTCAGACGGGCCTGGACATGTGCTGGCTTGAGCAGGGGGACCTTGCGTGCGCTGCAGGATTTTAATCCATGACGGCGTAGTGTGTTACTAATTGTTTTCTTTGAGACTGTGATCCCAGCTCTCTTCAGGTCATTGACCAGGTCCTGCAGTGTAGTTCTGGGCTGATCCCTCACCTTCCTCATGATCATTGATGCCCCACGAGGTGAGATCTTGCATGGAGCCCCAGACCGAGGGTGATTGACCGTCATCTTGAACTTCTTCCATTTTCTAATAATTGCGCCAACAGTTGTTGCCTTCTCACCAAGCTGCTTGCCTATTGTCCTGTAGCCCATCCCAGCATTGTGCAGGTCTACAATTTTTTCCCTGATGTCCTTACACAGCTCTCTGGTCTTGGCCATTGTGGAGAGGTTGGAGTATGTTTGATTGAGTGTGTGGACAGGTGTCTTTTATACAGGTAACGAGTTCAAACAGGTGCAGTTAATACAGGTAATGAGTGGAGAACAGGAGGGCTTCTTAAAAAAAAACTAACAGGTCTGTGAGAGCCGGAATTCTTACTGGTTGGTAGGTGATCAAATACTTATGTCATGCAATAAAATGCAAATGAATTACTTAAAAATCATACAATGTGATTTTATGGATTTTTGTTTTAGATTCCGTCTCTCACAGTTGAAGTGTACCTATGATAAAAAATTACAGACCTCTACATGCTTTGTAAGTAGGAAAACCTGCAAAATCGGCAGTGTATCAAATACTTGTTCTCCCCACTGTATATATCTGTCAACACACTTTTGCTCGGTGTAAAAATATGTACTATGGCAATTGAGTGCAGTTAGAGATATCTGCTGTGAGAACATACTGTATGTGGAGGATATTGTCTCGTTCCAGGTATGAAAAATGTACACTCAGACGAGCAGCAGTGAGATATGATGAGGTTGGGTGAGGATGGACGACAAGGAAGATGGAGTGTCTGTGTGTTGAGAGAGAGAGAACATAGAGAGGGAGAAAGAGGAGAGAGAGAGGTAGAGAGTGAGAGAGGACAGGAGGAGAGAGAGAGGTAGAGAGTGAGAGAGGACAGGAGGAGAGAGAGAAGTAGAGAGTGAGAGAGGACAGGAGGAGAGAGAGAGGTAGAGAGTGAGAGTGAGGACAGGAGGAGAGAGAGAGGTAGAGAGTGAGAGTGAGGACAGGAGGAGAGAGAGCGAGAACAGAGAGTGGGCGTGGAGGATGAATATGTCAAGAGCAAACCTAGTGTACGTGTAGAAAAAAACCCAGGAGAAGAACTGGTGTACAGTCAGGATCCACTCTGAGGCAGGGAGTGGAGGAAGGAGGGAGGGAGGGGGCTGGGGTGGGTTCTAGGGAGGATTGAGTGCGTGACAAGAGTTCCAGAGCCCAATCCAACAAGCAAGAGCCCGGACCTTTCCAAGGCCGTCAATAATTGATGCAGCTGCCGCAGCGTGCCATCTTTTTAAAGCAGTGAGTGTGAGTGTGTGTGCCTGGATAGTGTGTGAGTGTGTGTGTAGGTGTTGGAGTACCCTGCGTGTGACTGGGCTGTTTGTCTATCAGCGTGTGTGTGTCATTGAGGTGCATTGTGTACCCATCAAATGTGTACCCACTACCCCTTTTGTATTCATGTGAGCATAGGAAGGAGGAAATGAGCCGGTAGCTCGCCCGCTGCACACCACATCACGACTCCCTGCCACCAGCTGCTGTGTATGCCCTCGCTACCGCTGTGCCATGCTGCATCCCTCTGCTGCTAGAGATGGCAGAGAGCAGCGCAATGACACTGATCCAGACACTCCCTCTATGCCAATCCACTCCACCCATCCAACAGTGTGTGGAATGTTAATACACTGCTGATCAGCCTCACTGGACCCTCTGAAATCCTCCCCACCACACCCTGTCAGCCAGGCCAGCCTCCACAAAACTATCCATGCATCCCGGTGCCATTATGGAAAGGTCCTGTTGCAGTCCAGCCCCGCCCCGCCTCGCCCTCCTCTTCACTGGCTCTCTGCGTGTGTGTGAATGGGTAATGACTAGGCTCAGTGCTATGGCCTGCAGGCAGTGTCCTTCCTCCACTCTCCCTGGGCCACCTGTGAATACATATCCAGTACATGACAGAGATGAAGCTCTCTGCCTTTCCAGACACCAGGGCCAGAGAGCCGGTGGGTTTAGAGTTTCTCTTAGCACCACCAATGTACCCCCTACTCCCCTCCTACCCACCAAGCTTATATCGCCGCTCTCTCTCAGTAAACTCTGTCTCCTCTCTCTCTCTGTCTACTCTCTCCATCCTCCACCGCTCTCTCTGACTAATGGAGGACTCTCTCGCTCTCCTCCCAAAGACAGAGGACAAATGTTATCACTACGCTGCAGATGTCTCATGGGCGGCTCTTCTGAAACCTCCCGCTGGCGTCGGCAGGGACCAGCCAGACCCACAGCTCCCTTTCGCTTAATCTTTCAACTTTTTACAGCAGAAATTTAGCCAATTAGGCTCACCAGGCCTAGCGTTTGGGATGGGGGACCTTGGATTGGAGTGATATCTCCAGCTTGCCAGAAGTTCTGACATGCAGGCAGGCACTGGAGCCAGACGTGATCAGAGTGGCTATGGATGTACTGTATCCCTCACACTCCCTCTAACTTCTGCACACGCACACACAGTTTTAGGGCATCTTAGTTCCCCTTTGTACTGCCCTGTCTCAACTTTCCCTAGCTGTTGGATTTGCCTGACACTCCCGATGGCCTTTCGTACTTCATGATACCATGTACTTCCTTGAATGTCTGTCATGGCACGAATAACCCAGACCGCTCGTTAAATGGCCCACGTAATGTCTTTTCATTTAGCTGTCACCTCCGGTAATGGCTTGATTGCTGAGGCACATTTACAGCAATTATTTTATCTCATGCCTTTCCTTTCATTGTGCCCGGGTTTAATTTCACAATGACTGTGCAAGATTTTGGATCAGGTCCTTGTTATGTGCTTTTCACTTCAAACGCTTGGAAAGAGCACAATAAAAGAGAGGAAAGAAGATGGGATCCAATAAAACGGCACATTTCATGTCCTCTGGCACATGCACACGGCAGAGCAAAGCACAAGGGAAACCATTAACGAAACCCTATTATCTCCTGCCTCGAAAATTAAATAAATGAGAAAGAAATACAGACAGACAGAGACAGAGCTGCTATGTGGTCCTCTGTAGCTCAGCTGGTAGAGCACGGCGCTTGTAACGCCAAGGTAGTGGGTTCGATCCCCGGGACCAGCCATACACAAAAATGTATGCACGCATGACTAAGTCGCTTTGGATAAAAGCGTCTGCTAAATGGCATATTATTTATTATTATTAGTATCCTGTATCTGTTTCTACATATCCATAGTGCTGCAGTCACAGGCAGGGGGAGGGGGTGAGCTTCTGTGTTTGTGTTTCAACACAAGGCCTGAAAATGCTGAGGGGGGAACATGCGCAGCAATTTAGCAACTCCCTGTACCCGTTTAATCTTCTTCCTCCTCTTCTATCTTTCTCCCCCTTCCTCCCTCATTCATTGGAGTGCATATGAGACCTAGAGAGCTGTGTTTCATGGATCTACCAATGGCCGGTAGCTTCTACGGCCTCCCTGGATTCCAGTGGCCTTATCTGCAATAATTTATCTTGATAAACACAGAGCTGTGAATTTCCTCCAAAGCTTGCAGTTTACTGTACTATAGCTGGCGGATGAGTTTGCTTTCCTTCTACAAGTATCAACTATTCCCCTCTCTTTTCCCGCTCTCTCTTTTCAGGAATGATTGAAGCAAGGGTGTTTCATGAAAAGAAAATGGATGCTCTCTCATTGTCTTCTCTCTTTGATTCAAGGCAGTGTTGTGTTCTCTCCCACCTCCTGTGATAAATGTGGATGTCTGTCTGTAATGGCTTTCTCAGTTCTACACAGTCCTACTCACAGAACGAAATCGAACACCATTATGTTGTCTATTGTATATCTCTATGGTTGTGTTCTCAAGGCAATATAATACAATTCAAAGCAATTCTTTGGCAAATATATGCACTGGCAGATAACAACACCTGCTCATTCCTCATCATTAATACATCACTTGACTCTGACACTTCAGCTTGAAACAAAACATGTATTTGAGGAAACATTCATCTTTATCATTGCAATCTTTCCATTTTCAGGCAGGTGGAAGTAACATGAGGCTGAAGTGCTGTTGTAAACAGAATATGTCAATGTTTATGATCATCAATGTCATCTTTTTATAGCAGTTATTTTCTGTCGGAGTCATGACACACACTCTGTTATTGTAGGGAAAGTGACCTCTGCTTGCCTGGCTACCAAAACTCCTTGCTCCGGCCAAACGCTACACCACGCCCACAGACATGAGTTTCTTCTCTGCAATGAGTCTGGATCTGAGTACCTTCCCTACGATTTCTAGAATGGAAATACGTTCTAGACCGTCTGATTGGTCCCAGAAACCGATGGTTTGGGCCCAAGGATTTATATATACACTATATGACTGATGGGGGCGCTGTGTTGAAGCCACCATGCCTCCAACATTGCACTCCCCCACCGTTTTAACAAATATTTTGGAAGCTATAGAAATGCATGTATTAATGTCTAGAGACACCTTAATGCAGACACCCTAATGAATACTTTTACATTATGTGAGCTAAACATAAAACATTTTAAATGAAATAAATATTTTAAAAATTCCTTAAACGTACTTGTTTTTAAAGTTATTACTAATGTTACTGTCCTCACTACAACAGAAAATGCTAAAATAAATGTAATTTTGTCCTTGAATAAAAAATACTGTAGAATTCCATTCATTCCTATGGAGGACTGCTCCTACTGGGGAGTGCCAATATGGCCGACCGGTGGCTTCAAAGCCTCTCAATGGCCAATACATAGCATCAGCAATCCAGGGTTAGGCCAGAGCCAAAACACACATGGGTAAAGCGACGTTTTGATAATTCATTACATTTACATTTTACATTTTAGTCATTTAGCAGACGCTCTTATCCAGAGCGACTTACATTTAGTGAGTGCATACATTATTTGTTATTTCTTTTCATACTGGCCCCCCGTGGGAATCAAACCCACAACCCTGGCGTTGCAAACGTCATGCTCTACCAGCTGAGCTACATCCCTGCCGGCCATTCCCTTCCCTACCCTGGACGACGCTGGGCCAATGGTGCGCCGCCCCATGGGTCTGCCGGTCACGGCCGGCTAAGACAGAGCCTGGATTCGAACCAGGATCTCTAGTGGCACAGCTAGCACTGCGATGCAGTGCCTTAGACCACTGCGCCACTCGGGAGACGTCATTGGCTTTGATTCTCTGATTGGTTAGAGATGATCAAATCACTGATGGCTTTGTTTTGTACAACACCTCTCATTTTGACGCCACCACAAACGACTTCAATGATTGCAGTGTCAGACTGAAGTATGTAACGAATGAAGAATTCAGTTTGAGTCGTCAGGCAAGACCAATGCCAGGATGTCAATCAACTAAATACTCTCAGCGCTGCAAGTGACACATGTCATTGCATCCAAGGTGGCTGAGGTTAAGACAATAGGACAGTATAGATAAACTGTCAAAGTGTCATGCTAGGAGTGTCACACTACTGTGTTAGCTTCATGTACACTGTGATGTGAAGTAAACAGTACAATGCACTGGTCCCTGCTTTTAATACAATACACAGTAAGAACATCACACACAGTATGTGAATAACAATCAAAATGGAGAACAAGAACAGAGAGCAAAGGTCACATTGCATAATGGTTGTGTTTCAGATGCTTTGAAACTCTAATGCCTTTGTTCTCTTACATTTCGTTCTCTGTCAACAAACACCATTTGTACTGCACCCTAAAGCCATTACATGATACAGACAACAGTTTGCCTCCATCTCCTTTACAAAGGCATTATTAGACTATCAAAATACAGAGTATTGCCATCTAACAACAATGCATTAAGTGAAAAAGATCAGGCCGTAGCAACGCAAAATTGCCCAATTTCAACCTTTACCACGGATATGGCGACAACATTCAAGAACCATCTTTAACACAGCTAATACCAGGGTGTTAAACCAGCAAGCCAGACCTCTTCAAAGTGTAATCCGGACTGTAAACCTTCACATATCTGCAGGTCTCCTTGTGTAAAGCTAAGCACGGTTCCTCAGCATACAGCAGTAATCCCAGTAATGCTCTTACAGCTATGGAATAATTCCACAGTGAAAGGAGCAGGTTTATGGCTAATAAATGCACTGTGAGCAACCAGTGCCGATGGTTAATAAATACACATGCTAATCCTCTTAACATCTTCAGGATGATTCCTTGCACACCCCACTATGATGATTACATGCTTTCTACTGACTGGAGATTGGGATATCTAATATCTTCCAAGGGCATAATGTACAGATGGTAGACAGTATATGGATAGATAGATCCAGTAAATAGATAGAAAGATAGATGTGTAGATAGATAGATAAATAGATAAGAGTGACAGATTATGCATGTGAGGTAGTTCTTACAGAGGAACATAGAGCTTCTCCTCTAGTCTACATACACCCTTACAATGCAACAGTAACAAAGAGAGGGAACAACTCATACTTCTATTTCCAGGTGGAAAGTGAGCTTGACCTGCACTGTAACTCCAGCTGAGACTCCATGAGTCCCTGCTCACGCCCCACTCTCCCCTGCCTTCCACACAGCACCCCCCCCCTGCCCTTTTATACCTCCCCTCCACTCCAGAGCCCCCACAGGGAGCCTGGCCTCCCTCATTAGCTGAGGGGCTGAAGGCATCCGGTGGCTGGGTGAGGGAGGCGTCTGGGTCTGGTGGTCCCTGGAAGTCACCTCTGACGCATTGGCACAGCTCGGTGGTGGGTGGCACTGGCTGAAAGAGCCCATGATGTCACATATCAGTCTAGTCTAGACCTTCACAGGTGTTCTATACAAAATAGCCAGATGTGAGAAAATTCTGCACATGTGCTATGGTTTCCCAATTAGCCTAGGGAGTGATTTGATCCTATGTGGACAAGGTTAAATGATATGTCTAAGTGTTAGCACTTTGAGATACACCAGCCGTCATTATAAAGGTATAACGGTAGGAGAAAAAAGCAATTACCCCATTCAAGTAACACTGCAAGGTACTAACAATTCAAACGTCATGATTTTGAGTTGGGAAACTAAAATAATTGGTCTATTCTAGTGATCCATGGGGGAATGGAATGAGTCATAGTCTGGAGAGTACAGTGCTATGCTGTGGTAGAGCTCATTAAACAGCTAGTCTGCTGTCAGTGATAGCGGTGTGGTGGGAGAGCTGACTGACTGATAGCTGCCTGGTCATTACATTGATCTGGCCCCAGAACAGTCTGTCTGTCAGAGACTCTTATCTACAACACATGAAGCATGAGATGGAGATAGAGCCTGCTGAGCTGACCTGAGAACAGCCATTTGCATTTTTTATATCATTCAGTGCAGTGACAAGATGGAGCTGAGTAGTAGCTCAGGCCTTAGTTCATTCTACATCCTGGTTTACAACATGGTTTTAGAGTAGTCGGATCAAAGAAGATCACGATCAAAGATGACCCCATATCAAAGCAGGAGGCTAAGGTGTAGGCTTACAGGAAGATAATTTGCTCTCATTCAAAACAAGAAACAAGGACGTAAGATGAAAAGCACCACATTTCACAATCAATACACCATTTCTCTCTCTCTTTCCCCTGGATCCACAGTGGTGCAATAAAGATTCAAGCACAGGCCTCCATTGCAGATAAATCTTATGCAAGTCCCAGATTCAAGACATAGCCTGGAGAAGACTGTGGATTTTCATTATAATAGCAGGTGTGATGCTACTCTTTCACTGTAGGCAGCTGGAAGGCCTACTGTGTTCTCTCATTCAGCATCCTAGCACGGCATCATGACAAAGCAGGCAGGCAGTGGGGCTCCTCTACATGCTCTCTACATCCTCTCTACCTGGGATACTGATGGTATAAGGCCACCATTACATTCATGGCTCTGTGATGTTCAACCTGCACTTGATAGTGCATTCTTTCTATAGGCTTGCAAGCCTATAATAGCATATACCAGTCTATGGCCTACTGATATGATAAAAACAAATATGAGATGTCTGGGTGGCGTTGTTGTTATATTCTTCATTATTTTCAATTAGACCAGAAGAAAAACATAGTTTCCACCCCAGGCTATGAAGACGTTCAGTACATTTATCTCTTTGTTTATCAAGGGTAGGTCCCAGATGGTCTCGCTCTCGCTCAAACCAGGGGGAGGCTGACATACAATCGCCTAATACAAAATAAATGTGTTGGCTTGAATACTTGGTTGGCATGATTAAACGTCTGCTGATATTTCATGCATTTCACTAATACACATTTGCTAATTAGACAAGAGCATTTAGTCTGCGTAGGTAGGATACTGAGCGTTCCTTCTTGTTGACATGTAATTTACCAGCTGACAGTCTGTGTGTGCATTCATTTGCAAATTAAATCTGTGCAAGATAACGGTGCGCGTCAGCAAAAAGGATACGAATTGTTATTCATGACATGAGTGTTATCGATATGAACATTTACAACACCACTTTCAGAAAAATGCATGTTTATACAACAAATGGTACAGCAATTAAAGATATTCCTCTTGGTGCTTACCTCGACATTTCCCCACACGCAATGGGACAATACGGCCATCAATATGGGTAACACGGTATGTCCCATTTTCACTCCTTCTTCTTCTTCCGTTTCTCAATTGGAACGTTTTATCTTTATAATCTGAATTGATTCCCAAATACAGTTACATCAGCTACTATGAAGAGCTCTGTTCTGGTCGGTGCCTGCCTCCGATATCTCCTGCGTCTGCGTCCGTGCGCACTTGCTCTGCCTGCTCGCTCCAATCGCAGCACGGGCTGTTATGTGGCTGCAGCCTCGCCAGAAAAAAAAAACACGCTTTTTCTGTCTCAACGCCCATCTACGAGTTTGTATTGTACAATGGACTTTCCTCAAAGCGAAAACATTTTCAGATTAACTGCGGTTTGATTTGGTGGAGGGAGACACCCAATGGACATGGATGGGAAGTGCAGGCAGTGGATGGAAACCTGTCTATCTATGGAACTGGCTGAGCATTTTCATAACATGCGTCACGAAATCAATGACAGCGGTGCCGAAAGATGCCGCGTTCATGTACTAGTATGAAAAAGGAAACTTTGAAATGTCCGACATGCTATATGGTTGTAGTTATACACGAGCCGCGTTCAACAAATCGGAAATATCCGAGTCTCCAACTTCCGAATAGTATATGAACACGGCAAGAGGTCATCTATTTTACGAACAAGCCCACTCTTGTTGTTCGTTCCCGTTACAATTAAGCACTTTGATCGCGTTTGCACACAATTTGCCTACATTTAAATTGGTGAGAGCACAATTTCCACAATTACTTTTAGGATATCATTCACTGTTTAAGATTGGCCTAAAATATTTTATTTTGCGTAGCCTATACTACAAATGTCAATTAAGCTGAATCTGTTTTGACATTTAATCATAATTATGATTGGATTCAATCAAATCTCCACTGAGGAAACTCATATAGGTCCAATGCTCCAAAAACGCATCCTAAAAACACAATGGCATTCCAATTCACAATGATGTAATTGATCACAGGCCGATTTAAAAAATACGCATGAAACATTAGTGTTTTCTAGTTAACTGATGATTAACCGCAGTGCGTGTTTGATTGAATTTCAGCCAGTGTCTGTGTTTTATGTTATAAGTACGGTCGGGTCCCAATAATATATTTCTTCATCTTCTTCTGTGGATTTTATATGGCGGTTGGCAACCAACTTTAAGGTGCATTACCACCACCAACTGGACTGGAGTGTGGCCCAAAGACAGTCAAGGTCTAAATCCTACCCAATAATCTCGTCTCCCTAAGGAAACGAAATACATAATTAAATACTACATTGCCTGAAGATTTCCCCAGCAGTTCACTTACTCCTGGCTCTTCAACCCCATTACTCTATTAACAATCGCTCCCTTTCGCTCACATATTTATGGCACTGAAATAGAACATGTTCCACTGTCTCCATCTCCTCCTGACAATGATCATACCTCCCAATCGGATGTTTCCACACCACTTTCAATGTACTATTTAGCCTTGTGTGTCCCAGTCTCAGCCTTGTGACTACACTTTCCTCTCTCTCTTCTCTCTCGGCCTGAGGACCTCCCTGCCCCCACCTTTTCCTGGATCTTATACAGGTGTCTTCCCTTACTCTCCCTGTTCCACAACTCTTGCCACTTATTTTTAACCACTGTTCTTATTAATCCCTTGGCTTCTGCTTTACTGATTGACAATTCCATCTCAACATTAGGATGTTTAAGAGTCTGCTTGGCAATAATATCCACTCCCTCATTCCCCTCTACTCCCACATGAGCTGGTACACAGAGGAACATCACAAATACCCCCATCTGTTTCACCTCATATAATACATCCTGTCTGCTCTGAGACACACATGAATTTAAGCTAATCAGTGCTGCACAGGAGTCAGAACAGATGACTACCCTGTCTGGCCTCACCTCCTCCACCCACTCTGCTGCCAATAGTATGGCCAACAACTCCATTGTGTAAACAGATAAATGATCTGAATCTACTCCTTCCTCAACATCTCTTACCCTCTCAAGCAACCCTAGATATATCACTGGTTGAGGGAGAAACCAAGGTGGGATAGCAGGAAGAACGACAGAGGGGCTAAACTCCCTCCCAAGCAATTTCTATGCCAATCCAAATTCTGCATTTGGTCACTAGGGGGCACGCAAGGTAAGAGAATGGTCTCGTTCTCTGCGTGAGGGGTATCAGTGTATTCAATCATTTCAATACTGTATTGGCGATTTTTCAATTTGACACAATATTTTTCTCTGTGTTATGGAGATGAGATGTAGACCTATTTGTTATGAAACGTTGATATCAAGAAAATAGATATGTAGCCTATCTACCTGTAGAGCTGATATAACAGAACCGCATCTGTTTACACAAACTACTTCTCATTTACATTTTCTGTAAAATCGCAACTTCCTGATCATAAGGCCCAAATCTCGCCTGTCGTTCTGGCGAATTACAAAGGCTGCACCAGGTGTGGGCATGGCTAAATGTTGTGGGTGTGGATGGAAAGGGTCAGTTTCAAGGTGTACAATTGTTGACTGAAACAAACACCTCAGCCACGAAAACCACAAATGTTTCAAAACTTTTAACCACAGGATTTGAGTCATAGAAGGAATTTACTAACATTGAATTAATCAAGCGTCGATTTGAAACTTCTTGGACCCCAGGGAGGGAGGAATATAGTCCCGTGTATTTAACGTGTCTAGATCGTTTTGTTTGATTGAACTGTCTACCAACTGGATTTAACTCTGAAGTAGTTGAAGAAAATGAATTCCGCACGATTTGAACACGAGGTAAGATTTGTTTCAGGTTAATCTGGAGGCGAAAGAAACATAAACGCTCTAAACCTCTTTAGGCGATGTGCTGATGAAGACCGATTGTCTGTCGAAACGTTGGTTATTGAATTATTGCATCTGAGCTCCTAGAGTTTTGTTTCAGTAAAATGTTGTGTAAACCAAACAAATTAGAAATGTAGGAACAACCATGTAACCAAGTCACGCATGCGCCGCTGCTTTCAGGTTTGCATTTTCACAGCTGTATTGTTGTTCGCGACTTCAATTTATATTGTATTTTACAGACCAATGCATAACGTTTAATTCCAGTCACCATAAGGTTTCTGTAAGGCCCACCTGTCAAACTCAGCCCATATAGGCAAACATACTCCAATTGATTTTCAGTGACAACATACCACAAGTAAACACTTTAAGGAAGTACGTTGCTTTCTCACTGGCCTTCAGGTTATCCAG